AACCAACAAATATCAATATATACAATGCTTCCCACCAATCAATATCAATATATACGAATGCTTCCTACCAATCAATATCAATATATACGAATGCTCCCCACCATCCAATATCAATACATACGAATGCTCCCAACCAATCAATATCAATATATACAAATGTTTCCCACCATCCAATATCAATACATACGAATGCTCCCCACCATCCAATATCAATATATACGAATGATCCCCACCAATCAATATCAATATATACGAATGCTCCCCACCATGCAATATCAATATATACGAATGCTCCCCACCAACAAATGTTAATGTATATGAATAATCTCAATGTCGGTATATATGAATTACCTAATATACTAATATATGAATTACCTCGATGTTAATATATATGAATTACCTCAATGTCAATATATATGAATTACCCCGATGTGAATATATAAGAATTACCTCACCAACGAGAGACAACACATAGATGCGCCCATCCAGCAAGTGTTACATATATTGATGCTCGGCACTAACCAATGACAGCATATATTAATGCCCTTCCGAACCACAGGGGATTCGAACCCTGCACCTCGAGATTTATCCGCCACACCAGGGTCAGGTGATCAAGGCGAAGTCACGTTGACTTCATGTTACCGCCCATACATTTATGTCAAAAGCTTCCTACCAATCAATATCAATATATACGAATGCTCCCCACCATCCAATATCAATACATACGAATGCTCCCAACCAATCAATATCAATATATACAAATGTTTCCCCACCATCCAATATCAATACATACGAATGCTCCCCACCATCCAATATCAATATATACGAATGATCCCCACCAATCAATATCAATATATACGAATGCTCCCCACCATGCAATATCAATATATACGAATGCTCCCCACCAACAAATGTTAATGTATATGAATAATCTCAATGTCGGTATATATGAATTACCTAATATACTAATATATGAATTACCTCGATGTTAATATATATGAATTACCTCAATGTCAATATATATGAATTACCCCGATGTGAATATATAAGAATTACCTCACCAAAGAGAGACAACACATAGATGCGCCCATCCAGCAAGTGTTACATATATTGATGCTCGGCACTAACCAATGACAGCATATATTAATGCCCTTCCGAACCACAGGGGATTCGAACCCTGCACCTCGAGATTTATCCGCCACACCAGGGTCAGGTGATCAAGGCGAAGTCACGTTGACTTCATGTTACCGCCCATACATTTATGTCAAAAGTGTCCTCTGTTTATGGGAAGGCAGCCAGAAGAAATCATTAACTCCAGAAAGAAATATTATCTGTTTACTCCAATGCCAGGTAGTCGTAGAAGAGATCCGCCCTAATTGAGTTGGGCTATTTGAAACTTTCCTATTATGAGGTGGTTTGATATATATACTGAGCCGCAAAAGAAACGTCACCCCAAGAAACATTGCATGAAAAGTTGTCATTAAAATATCTGGGTAATCTTTGTCAAAGTTTCTACACTTTAACATTACTTTGTCCGGAAAAAATGAAATTTGATGATAAAAAACAAAGCAGATGACAATAAAACGATCGTCCAAACACATCACGGCAACGGCCATGGTAACCCGATGCACGTGTGTTCCGTGCAAATTGAAATGCACATGCGTTTCCCCATTTCTTGTCCTATAAAAAACCACCCCGATCGGATAACATTCATTCGTTATTGCTACCACATGCCAAGAATGACAAGAAATCAGCGACACAAAGCCCTTGGACGAATGCAAACTTGACAAAACGCCCGGCATGTAGCCAATGCATTTCAAGTCCAGGTAAGGACCATTTACAGGTTCCAGCAACGGTACCAGACCACCAACACTACAGATGACCGATCATGTAGTGGAAAACCAATGGTCACCACCCGACGTCAGGATCGTCAGATTGTGCGACAGCATCTTCAAGATCGCTTTGTTACTGCTGTGGAAACTGCTCAACAGACCATGGGCACACACCAGCGACACATTAGTGCGGACACCGCACGTCGACGATTGGCGAGCAGACACCTCCACTGTTACAGACCACACCGAGGACCCATTCTGACACCACCTCATCGCCGGGACCGCCTTCAGTGGGCAACACAAGACCAGCATTGGCGCCACCAGCAGTGGAGAAGAGTCCTCTTCTCAGACGAGAGCCGTTACTGTATCACAACCATCTCAACAGCAGATGGCAGAGAGAGGGTCTGGCGAAACCGTGGGGAACGTTATTCGGATGCTTGTGTTGTTGAAATAGTCTCGTGGGGTGGTCCGAGCATCACGGTGTGGGGTGGAATTTGTAATGCACAGAGGATCGGCCCTTAGGTTTTCCAGAACATCGGTCCAGGGAGAGGCAATGGTGTCACAGCAGCTCGGTACATTGATCAAGTCTTGAGACCACACGCCATACCTCATTTGGCACGTCGTCGCAACCACGAGTTTCAGCATGAAAACGCCCGTGCCCACACTGCGAGAGCAACAAGAGACTTCCTCCAGCAGAATGGCATCAGAACCTTGCAATGGCCTGCCCTCAGTCCCGATTTAAATCCAATTGAGCACCTGTGGGACGAGATTCAAAAACGGCTGAATGACGTCCGACCAAGGCCGACAACTGCAGCTGAACTGCGTCAGGCGTTCCTCAGAGTGTGGGCTCAAGTGCCTATGGCCTTCATCAACCGCCTCATCCATTCCATGTATCGACGTTGCACGGCAGTCATCAATGCACATGGCGGACACACGAGATACTGACTTGTGATGCCATTTTCTCAGAGACTAGTGTTGTGTTTCACTTTAAGAACATTGGACACTTTAATTTCAACCTTGGTGATCAGTTTTGCCAAGTTTCATTTTTTTAATATGTCTCAAAGTATGTTTACAGTTTTTGGATAAATATATATATATATAGTCATATATCTATCCATGGTGGCGTTTCTTTTGCGGTTCAGTATAGGAATTGAAGGCAGATTTGTATATTAAATTAAAGGTGGAAGTGTGTATGGGAATCGAATATGACCTTATTTGTGGACTTTACAGGTAGGATTTTAAAGTAAGGGGTCGTGTTTAAGCTTACGAAAAGCGTTAGATATGGTTTTAAAGGAAGAATTAAATGTGGAAAAATGGTATTGTTTATTTAATTTAGAAGCGGTAATATAAGTTTGATATCCAAAGGTGTATTTTGGACGCAAAGGCAGGAATGTATATTTGATTTTGATGAAAGTGTAGGATTCAAAATAAGAATTTGGATGGGTTTTTTGTATTGGATTCCTTGAAGGAATTGTTAGAATCAAAATCAGAATTGTATCTGAAAGTGGGATTTTTTATGCGACTCGAAGGTGGAATTGTATATTGAAGTTGCTGTTATGTGTGGTTGTATTTTGGAATATCCCAGTGGGGATACCGGGTTAGAATAGGTTCTCAGCAACCTATGCTGGTCGCAAGAGGTGACAAATGGACCGGGTGGTCAGGCTAGGTGACATGGTTCATTTCCATGTCTATGTACCCCTACATGTAGTGTTGCTCACACTATCGATCACTGGTTTCGATTGTTTACAGGCCGCCATTATATAGCTGGAATACTGCAGAGTGCGGAGTTAAACAACAAACAAACAATACTTTTGAATATGTATATTAGTGGAATACATCAAGGATGCATATAGGTTTTAAAGGTGGGATAATTTGGGAATTTAAGTTTATACATCAGGTTTGACTACTAACATACACTTTATTGAGCACGTGTATGGCTCTGACAAATATATACACATAAAAAGGGCGAATCGGCTTAAGAGACGTTAATCTGTCTCCGCATATGTTGTGATTGATCAAGTGTCACAGCAGTGATAGTCCTGCATACGTGACAGGGTGACCCAGGAGCAGCTCTTTAGCTGATGATACTAACAATACAGATTCCCTCCAGATACACAGATGCAGCCAACTGTTGAGAGTGACAGGGGAGTGGGGAGGGGGAACAGCTGGTGTCCCGGATCTGTGCTGTTTCCTGCTGTAAGAGAATCACTGATTGCTGACCGTAATCCGACCATCGACACAGATGTGAGTGAGTGAGTGAGTGAGTGAGTGAGTGAGTGAGTGGGGATGTGGGTGTGTGGTTGGATGGGTGAGTGAGTGAGTGAGTGAGTGAGGGAGGTAGGGAGGGAGGGAGGGAGGGAGCGAGGTTTTAACATCCCTTTTAGCAATACGCCATCAATATCACAGCGGAGATATAATAAATGTGCTTCACACATTTAACCCCAGTGGGGACTCAAATCGGAGCTTTCGTCGTGACCTGCAAATGCGATACTTACTGTGAGCTGCCTCACCGCCCTGTTAAAATATTAAGCCCGAGTCGATCATGTGTATTCATGCACAGTGACAATGTACTCTTGCGGAGATTGTTCTTGTTGAATTAATATTTCAAACATCTATGATGATGTGAGTTGCTTTTGTCGTTAAATCCAAAGAGCAATCTAAAGCTATTGATTTTAATAAGTTGCCCATTCGGAAGACATACACCTGACTTGTCATTGTACCTGTCGGGTTTGTATTTTTCTGTCATTCTGCACAATCGAGTTATTGTATAACAAATATATTAATATAATGAAAGGAGCCGCGTTCCTGCATAGTAATATAATAACATATTTTCTGAGTGGTCAGTTATTATATATTTATTTAAAACCATAATCGAAATTGGGTTCTAGTCAGACATTAAACCGACTACTGATGCCTCATGCTCAACCTTTGTGACATAATCTACATAGATTCATTACCATATATTGACCAATTTCTAATCCACTGTGATTTTCTTATATAATTTACACTGTCCTAGAACAAGAAAGTATTTACTCAGTTAATATATTATCAATGCATTTGTAACCTTGGATTGTATAATACAACATTACATAAATTTATCTCTACATGCTGTTCCAACGCCATGGTATCCTCTTCACTACACTCTGCAAGAGTTGCGCACATCTCGGCCGAGGCAAAACAAACACGTACCTCAGGGAACATGGACCAACAGGTACAGGTTTTTTATTTAATAGTTTTTACAATGTTTTACACTGATGGCCTTAACGTTCTGTAATCTGTAGTCAACATAGCCACAGCAACCATAACATGCGGAAACATCTGCTTCAAATGTTAAATATGAGTTTCTATGTGGTTGTTTTCAGCTGTTATAAAAAACAAAAAAACCGAAACAAACCAAACATTTGGGTCGCAAGTAAAACAATGGATCAGTCGAGTGAAAGAAACGCAAGTATTTTATCTTTAACAAACTTGGCATGTAAATGAATTTTCCGCTTAAAATGATACATAAATTGCATCGTCCTAATGTAGACACCTGTCCCGTTTCCAGTCAGATATTATACCCCTCTGAGGGTAGATATGACCACAGCTTTAATATACCTCCAACGGTAGTGACTTTGGGGCATATATGGAGAATCTCACCCAAGTGTCTTTTGATATCAAATACATCTACACGAGACGATAAAAGTTTAAAACTCCTTGGCTGGCCGAGGAGTTTTATACTTTTATCTACGAGTATTGATATATTTACTATCAAAAGGCACAAGGTTGAGATTCTATTTATCATCCGACATCATTCTTCCAACTTTCTTTCTGTTTGTAGACAGTAATAAGCAGTGTCTTTACCGTAAAAAGTGCTGCTAACAGCTATAGTAGCAGAGCCATTAGTGATGTCATTTGATTGTAACGTTATGTAACAGTGACGTCACAATGGTCTGCAAAGCATTGTGCTTGATCTCACCCAAGCGATATCTCCTGTGGGAGCCAGTTTTGGATGAATATAGATCCCATGGCGCTCAGAACGGCATGATGAAAAATCTACAACATTATACTTGTAGGGCCTTCATTGTTTAACCTCGTTTTCGAGACACAGAAATCAGATATGCTGTACTGAGTGCTTTGTTCACTCGTACCTGATTGGCTGATCCGAAAGTTCACCGGATGACATGACCTTTAGAAGAGGTTATCAGATCCATACACAGATGCGTAAGGTATCGGGGTGAAAGATCTGATCGTAAAGAAACTTATACACAGTGTGTATGGTTGTGGATAGAACAGGGTGTTAGTTTCCACAGGGTCTTTATGTCAATTCTGAATGTAAAGACAACAAAATAGTATTATCTCATTTTTTGTAGTTTAATTTGGGATGTTACTTTGTGCAACTGAATCTTTCAAAACTATCTGACCTTCTAGGATCACGCACACTTGCCCGACACTTCACAGGACCATACTCTTACACACCAACACGAAGCTGATCTGATGTTATCCAAGGAAAAGATTACCACTCTCAATCTAGACATGCATTCTGCTGTCTGACAGCTTACACAGGCTTAGACGCGTGAACAGAATTAAGGGATCTGATATGGGATTGACATGACATGACGTACACATGTCACATGACACTACCTGAAATGACGTACACATGTCACGTGACACGGCCCGAACATGACGCGCACCTGGCGCATGACCTGACCTGACACGATATGACGCACAGATGTCACATGACATACCTTACATGACGTACGTGACATACCCCGAAGATGATTGTTTGGCATGTGGTGGTATATCAGATAATAATACGTAGCACCATCACGACCGGAGACACCAAAATTGGGCTTCACACACTGTACCCATGTGGGGAATCGAACCAGGTGCACGGCGTGATGAGCCAACGCTTTAACCTTTAGGCGAGTCCTAGAACTCCCTGCTTGCGCGAGAGCCGACTAGACTTTAAATGGTACAGTAAATCACCTGATCCCAGCTGGTTAGAATGATGCTCATGTATTCAACCACCAGGTTGCTGGTCCAGATTCGGTTATTAACAGCTCCAATCTCATTAAAATCAGACCTTAGTTCTCGCTACCGCTGAACAAAGATCTGAAGACATCCCATAAGTGGTCACGTCAGAACGACGTTTCATCCGACCAATCAGTGCGTCGCTTACCAGATTATGAAAGTGACAGTCGGAATGTGATTTCTATCATGCAATCTCGAAAACTTTAACACGGGGTATTCCGAACAATAGTTACGGGTTTAAGGAGTGAATCCTTACAATCTGGACCATCTATTAGACATTCCAGAATGTTTTTTTTGTTCAGGTTTCAAATTTGTAATTTGTCAAACTATGTTTCGAAGCGTAGTCGCTAATTTGAAATTGTGCCGTAAAGCACGAGAAAGCTGCCTCCTGATTGGTCATTCCATTGGTCGGTCAAAGTTCGCGCAAGGTCGGCCTGACGTGACCCGTAATGAGATGTCCTCAGATCTTTGTTTAGCGGTAGCGAGAACTAAGATCTGATTTTAATGAGATTGTAACAGCTCGCGCTGATAAAGCTGGAACATTGCTGTCTACATTCACGCACTCACTCAAGGTTATCTTTAAGGCAAATTACCCTATAAACATACATCATGGCGTGACATACGTCACTGACGACATATTTGCACCACAATCGTATGACATTTAACTGTGGACATTCACAAACCAAACCCCCTTTCACGACCACAAATACTCACATACATTTTCCTTTGAAAAACGAAGCTATTTCTTTAAAATGTTCTAAGTAATATATTGACAATATTGAAATACATATATCCTAGGACTGTAACGATACCCTATACACTACAATATGCACTGACATACAGCTAGGACGTGATGTCATACGGTTAAATATCTGCATCAAAGATAAGGCCAAAAGAAAACCAACCTCAACATGTTCAATGAACGTTAAACAGTTATGACTTGAGAACATTTGTTCACCGTTTGAACAACATAATTTTGCATTTCATTTTCATATCACATAACGTGTTTTCCGAAGTTCACAAAATCATAGCCCCACTATGCGATACTAATATCGCTACACAGGATTCAATGGCAATTCGGTGAATCGTTACAGGTAACTTTTAACACTCTACACATGATATTCAATGCCTCCCGTACCATCCCGTTGGACCACCTAACAAATCAGAATCATATAATATAAAATTTTCAGATATTTTCGAGAACGAATTTTGCAAAACGCTTAACACATCGCCTTCTATTTTCTGAAAGTATTTCTTTGGTGTGTAGCCGTCCCGGACAGAACGACATATTGTAACGAGCTTTGGAGCGAACCTCCTCCCATCTAGAATCATCTCCATAGCCTCCGTCCTCTCGTCAATCTCCTCTACATCCGGGGTATGAAATACCACCATCGTATCGTTTGGGCGGTTGTAGCCGTCGCACATACGCATGTTGTTCTTGTGGTTGAACTCAAGCGTTTTGGGGGACATATTGAGGCAGACACCAACTTGGGACAATGAACGGAGCTGATCCGTTGTGAAGGTAACCAGTTTTGCCAACATCATCTTCAAAATAAAATCAGGGTTCCGTCTACAAAAATGCCCATGAATTCGTCCTTGAAGATCTTTAAGCATCGCTGGGACTCGACTCCAGAAAGCTGTTCTGAGCCCCTTATCGTTGCATGCGTCACGTTGCATTAATCCCGACTGACACAGTTGTTTAAAGTCTATGATAGACTCGAGGACGGAGTTGAAGAAGTTATCTACCGACCTCTCGTCTGTCGTTCCCTGCGCGCAGACGAGAAGTTGTACCCACATGCTGATGTCTCTGATTTCAGATTCTTTCAGTCCGGAGTTATAAAGAGGCAACACCGCCGCCTCACAGCCGTAGTAGTCCTCGTCAATGTCGAGAATAACGTTGTCACTGTGAGTGAGCCACTTGCCAGACTTGATCAACAAAATGGCTTTCCGCTCACTGACAATCTCAATGATCCCCGACGTCCGGAACGTACACGCCGACTCCTCTATGGGGATCCCGCTCTCGTCCTCAGAGTCCACGGTGATATTGTTCATGACGCAGTACTTCTCCTTCTTTATGGGCCCCGTTGAGAAGCATGCGCAGAGTTCCTTAACCTTCTTGCCGTTGACGAGTTTGAAGGTGGTTCCGGCCCTGACGTCCATGCGCTGGTAGTCTACCTGATCGGGATGCTCGCCGTCGCTGGTGTCCCAGGGCGGCCACACCCATATGTAGCGGGTGATCAGTCCTGTCATCGCTGCTGCCTGGCAACATAAGACCAATACGCCACTTATACGCTACATACACCACCGCTGGTTTCAGATCAAGGTAATACTTAAACACATTCAACTTTAATTTCAGAACAAAGCCGTATTTACACACACTGAACATTGGATTGATATCAAGGCCATATTTACACACATTGAACATTGGTTGCAGATAAAGGTCATATTATGGAAAAATTGATTATTGGTTTCTTAACAGGTAGTGCTGTGGCGGTAGGGTAGCTCAGTGGTCAAAGCGTTCGCTCGTCACTCCGAAGGCCCGGGTTCGATTCCCCAGATGGTACAATGTGTGAATCCCATTCTTCTATCCCCCGCCGTGATATTGCTGGAATATTGCTAAAATCGGCGTAAAACCATACTCTATCACTCAATAAAAGGGTCATATTAATAACCTCTCCCTCATCCCCAACCCCGATACCAAGGAGAACGCGTCATACCACGTTAAAGACGTTAAAAGGTGGTACTTGTTGACAGTCTTCTTTAGGGTTTGCAGATATTTGGGCACAAAATTCAGGTCGGTTGGTCGAAAATATATATAAAATTTAAATTCCAACTTCATTCGTTTTGTTTGATTCCTCACGCGCTTTGTCCTAATTCGTTGTGTTTTGGCGTCAGCAGGTTTTAATTACACTATTTTAAATCATTTATTTATATTGAAAGCGACATTAAATGAGTTTTAAATATATTTTTCCTCACATATTTCTGTTGAACGGAGCAAAAAGAACACTGTTTTTCACGTTAAACCCCGTTTCACCTCACCTCACCATAATACCCAAACAAGGTCCTGTCAAAACACATCGCCCCATGATTCCCTAAACAAATCATATTAACACACAAGACCCACTGATTTCTTAACGGGGCCATATTAACACACAGCGCTCACTGATTTCCATACAAGGTCATATCAACACACACCGCCGACTGATTTTCTAACAAACCATATTAACACGCAAGGCCCACTGATTAAACACACCGTCCACTGATTTCTTAACAAGGTCTTATTAACACACACCGCCCACTGATTTCTTAACAAGGCCATATTAACAGACACCGCCCAGTGATTTCTTAACAAAGCCATATTAACACGCACCGCCCACTGATTTCTTAACAAGGCCATTAAAACATACCATCCACTGATTTCCTAAAAATCAGATCAAAACACACCGCCAACTGATTTTCCTAACAAGGTAATTTAACACACATTGCCCACTGATTTTCAAACAAGGTCATATTACCACATACTGCCCACTGATTTCCTAACAAACCATATTAACACACACCGCCCACTGATTTCCTAACAAAACATATTAACCTGTTCTTAACCAATTGACTTTTGCTTCCATAATAGTAACACATCAGGTTAATTTGAGGTCTATTTATTGAAAACGACAGCGATATTGAGATCGGCCAATATATAATTAGTTTGAGATTAATCAAACTCGAATATCTGCCGAAACAGATTCCACAGGGCGTAAACGGAAAAAATAAGGGAGAATGGATCACCGTCAATTAATGATGACATTAGGTGGTTACGAAAAGGGTAAACTGCAGGACCCCACAAGACTCTTTTAATACACTAGGTACCCGGTGTCATCACCGATTTTCAAATATCATTTTCTCCTCTGTATTATGTAAAATGTCAACGCCAGAGAACATAATTAATGTCTCGAGTATCTGCCAAAACAGATTGCATTGGGCGTAAAAGGCAAAATTATATGTGAAAATCAGTGATGACACCAGGTGTTCGCGAAGAAGGATATCTGTTATGCCTCTACGTTTTTCATTTAGATCTGAATGTTGTGAACAGTAGCGGATAATTACTTGTTTCAAATAATTACCGTCTATAAAATACTGTTCTAATAGTTGGCAAGTCGGGATTACTCGGGAAATGAAGCGAGTCTTTGGTCTCCTTTTTATTATGTTTTATTCAGATAATTTCAAAACTGATTTTTCTTTAAAACATTTTCAGAGACTAGATGTTGTCTACCGCGACCTTTTCTGATATAAAGAGCGTTTGGATTTGGGCTAATGGGTATCATCGCTTTTTATTACAGTCAATTAAACCCACATAATGTCTGCGAGCTCATGTTTTATTATGTATTTCATTCTAGCAGTTCTTGATCACCATTTTACACACGCAGTGTCTCAGTATCACACGTTATTGATTTCCTAACAAGGCTATATTAGTGATTACCCTTTTATACACATAGCGTCTCAGAATCAGGCATGACACTGACTTCCTAAAAAGGTCATAGTATTGATTACCCTTTTATACATTTAGCGTCTCTGAATCACACATGACACTGATTTCCAGACTGGAAATAGCAACCAGATCCCATCCTGGACTGTCCCGGTATTATGTCCCTAATCCGTTATGATGAAATCCCTGGACCCATTCGCGACCATAAACTTCATTTCGGCAGTGACGTCACTACCACCATCTTCAGTTTACCACATACTTTCTCTCGCTCGTGAGACTAATTTGATTGGAGAACCATTTTTAGCGGCGTGCAGTTGGAATCGGGCCCAAAACGAAACTATGTTAGCAAATTGGTCCATTGAGATATAATGCTCTGGATAATCGAAGATGACCACATAGCGGAGCATACTGCCCCTTTAAGCGAGTCGTGTCTGGTGGTATGTTTTCGTTTTAATCTCTTGTCGACTCTTGTTGCACGGTATCCCGCTGCTTCCCAGGAATAAATGTTTTAGAATTTCCAGATTGGATAAAAATCATGTTTGTGGAGTCAGTTGGAGTGACATAAAACTCTGTCCGTCCAACCGTTTAACAGTCCACTCATCTTCTGTTTCTAGATGACTATAAATATGAATGAAATGTATATGTATTGCAAATCTTGAATTCAGATAGGCACACATATAATTCACGGGGGTTCCCATAACACATTATGCTGTGGTGACTAAGTGAGTGAGTTGGGTGTACCGTCGCTTTGAACAACATTCCTGTTACATGTATACGAGGACTGGTCAAAAAGTCAGAGAAGCTTTAGAGCAATAGACGTTAAAAGATGGTATTTGTTGTTTCCCTGGCCGCCGATCGGTACTAAGGGGATAAGACAAAGATTGGTAGACTCGAAGTATACTTTGTCTAGGTCGGTAGCCTTAAGAAACCTCAAACTTATAGTGGGCTTACACTATAAAAACGGCATTAGTCTGTATTAATACAAGCATCCTCACGCACGCACGCGCGAACGCACTCACGCACACACACACACACACACACGTCCCCATGTAAATGCAATAACGACAAGTTAAACCCCTTTTCACCACAACCACCACCACAACGACGACCAGCACCCCATCACCATCACCACCACCATCACCACCATCACCACCATCACAGCCATCCCCATCACCACCATCATCACCATCACCACCACCATCACCACCACCACCATCACCACACCCATCACCATCACCACCACCATCACCACCATCACCATCACCACACCCATCACCATCACCATCACCACCACCACCATCACCACACCCATCACCATCACCACCACCATCACCACCATCACCACACCCATCACCATCACCATCACCACCACCACCATCACCACACCCATCACCATCACCATCACCACCACCACCATCACCACACCCATCACCATCACCATCACCACCACCATCACCACCACCACCATCACCACACCCATCACCACCACCATCACCACCACCACCATCACCACACCCATCACCATCACCATCACCACCACCATCACCACCATCATCACCACCACCATCACCACACCCATCACCATCACCACCATCACCACACCCATCACCATCACCACCACCATCACCACCACCATCACCATCACCATCACCATCACGATAACCACCATCACCATCACCACCATCACCATCAACATCACCACCACCATCACCACCATCACAGCCATCCCCATCACCACCATCATCACCATCACCACCACCATCACCACCACCACCATCACCACACCCATCACCATCACCACCACCATCACCACCACCACCATCACCACACCCATCACCATCACCATCACCACCACCACCATCACCACACCCATCACCATCACCATCACCACCACCATCACCACCACCACCATCACCACACCCATCACCACCACCATCACCACCACCACCATCACCACACCCATCACCATCACCATCACCACCACCATCACCACCATCATCACCACCACCATCACCACACCCATCACCATCACCACCATCACCACACCCATCACCATCACCACCACCATCACCACCACCATCACCATCACCATCACCATCACGATAACCACCATCACCATCACCACCATCACCATCAACATCACCACCACCATCACCACCATCATCACCACCACCATCACCACCACCATCACCATCACCATCACCATCACGATAACCACCATCACCATCACCACCATCACCATCAACATCACCACCACCATCACCACCACCATCACCACCACCATCACGATAACCACCATCACCATCACCACCATCACCATCAACATCACCACCACCATCACCATCACCACCATCACCATCACCATCACCACCATCACCACCATCACCACCATCACCACACCCATCACCATCACCACCACCATCCCCATCACCACCATCATCACCACCACCATCACCACCACCATCACGATAACCACCATCACCATCACCACCATCACCATCAACATCACCATCACCATCACCACCATCACCACCATCACCATCACCACCATCACCACACCCATCACCATCACCACCACCATCCCCATCACCACCATCATCACCACCACCATCACCACCACCATCACGATAACCACCATCACCATCACGATAACCACCATCACCATCACCACCACCACCATCACCACCATCACTGTCATCACCACCACCATCACCATCACCACCATCACTGTCATCACCATCACCACCATCACCACCATCACCATCACCACCATCACTGTCATCACCACCACCATCACCACCATCACCATCACCACCATCACCATCACCACCATCACTGTCATCACCACCACCATCACCACCACCACCATCACCACCATCACCATCACCACCATCACTGTCATCACCACCACCATCACCACCATCACCATCACCATCACCATCACCACCATCACCATCACCACCATCACCACCATCACCATCACCACCATCACTGTCATCACCACCACCATCACCATCACCACCATCACTGTCATCACCACCACCATCACCACCATCACCATCACCATCACCATCACCACCATCACCATCACCACCATCACCACCACCACCATCACCACCATCACTGTCATCACCACCACCATCACCATCACCACCATCACCATCACCATCACCATCACCATCACCACCATCACCACCATCACCATCACCATCACCATCACCACCATCACCACCATCACCATCACCATCACCACCACCACCATCACCACCATCACTGTCATCACCACCACCATCACCATCACCATCACCACCACCATCACCACCACCATCACCACCATCATCACCACCACCATCACCACCACCATCACCACCACCATCACCACCATCATCACCACCACCATCACCATCACCATCACCACCACCATCACCACCACCATCACCACCACCATCACCACCATCATCACCACCACCATCACCATCACCATCACCACCACCATCACCACCACCATCACCACCATCATCACCACCACCATCACCACCACCATCACCACCACCATCACCATCACCACCACCACCATCACCATCACCATCACCATCATCATCATCACCACCACCATCACTATCATCATCACCACCATCATCACCACCACCATCACTGTCATCACCACCACCATCACCATCACCATCACCATCACCACCATCACCACCATCACTATCACCACCACCATCACCATCACCACCACCATCACGATAACCACCATCACCATCACCACCACCATCACTATCACCAACCACCCCCACCCGCACCATCACCATCACCATCACCATCACCATCACCATCATCACCAACACCATCATCACAATCATGGATCTGACAGTTCATTCCATAATGCTATCTTCTTTTAATTGTTTTCCATTTTTATGTCACTATCCTTGTATATACCGACGCTTATCGGTTTTGAACATATTTTTTTAATAGCACATTTGTATTTGTGACAGAATTCATCTCTTCGTGATTTATGTTAACTACATATGTAAATATGTCATACTTTGTCGTATCGTGTCCAAGCCCCCTGCTGTAGGCGATTAGCGTCGCCGCCTAGTTGGACGTTTTATGTTCAGATGCTGACGGTATGGTCAGTGTTGTGTTCCAATCACCATCACTGTAATAACGCCTAATGTTTCAAATCATGAATGTGATACAGGCTACACAAACGGATATGTGTGTATGATGATTGTTGTTATATTGATGGTGGCAATCTTGTTGAGAGATTATTGTTCCTAAACATTCAAAGAGGACGAACAGAAAAATGAACTAGGAATTCATATAGTGGGTTGTTTTTAGATTTGATCAAAACATTAGAAACGTTATCAAAATTACTAGGTTACTAGGCTGAAAACAGTCCCAACACAACCATGATACCCGTATCAAATACATCACTATCGAATAACATTTCTTGTTTGCTTAATTTGTAGTCACCATCAAACATGGGTGAATACTCTCTTCTGCCGGGCTGTTTACTTGGCCTCTGTGCGTGTGCGTGTGCGTGTGCGTGCATGTGTGTGTATGCGAAGACAACGGCGTTTTATACTTACGACCACTTCAGTTTTATACTGAAGACATCATTCTGCCGAATCATATTAATGTGTGTGCGCGCGTGTGCATGAGCTTGTGCGAAGTCAACGGCACTTTATACCTACGACCATGAAGACATCATTCTGCTGCATCATGTTTGAGCCTCTGCGTGTGCGTGTGCGTGTGCGTTTGCGTGTGCGAAGTCAATGGCCCTTTATACTTACGACCATGAAGACATCATTCTGCTGCATCATGTCAGTGATCTCCTCGCTGTTCCTAGGATGACGGAAAAGCGGGATGATGTTCCACTCGAATGGAGTGGCGCCGTCGGAGTGTCCGTCGATATGCAGCTACAATACAATCACGTCTACTCAGCTATGGACGGCGTCTTGCGTGCCTCAGATCAATACTGATACTTATCTTCCATATATACGTTCAAGATACGGTTAATGGCGGAGACACATCTCGTATATCATGTGTGTCTTACATGCATACTTATAACCATCTGAGCCGTCACATCCCCTGTTAATTGGGAAAAATCTTGTTTTTGTGTAACGCCATAGATATAACAATAGCGTGAATACGAGAGACTGAACCAGAATGAATGAATGAATTTCTTTATTTCCTCCAGAAATTACATGCGAAGATTTAAAAAATCTCTGATATTCTCAGAGCAAATGCATTGTGCTAGTATTTATTTAGATGGGTGCATTATTAACACATAAAATACACACACACACACACACACACACACACACACACACACACACACACACACACACACACACACACACACACACACACACACACACTAACAGAGACACACACACTAACACACACACACACACACTAACAGACACACTAACAGACACACAAACACACACACACTAACAGACACATACACACACACTAACACTAACACACACACACACACACACACACACTAACAGAGACACACACACTAACACACACACACACACTAACAGACACACACACACTAACAGACACACAAACACACACACACTAACAGACACATACACACACACTAACACTAACACACACACACACACACACACACACACACACAGACGCACACACAGACACACACACACAGGCACAACAGAAGTATTATGTGCTACGTTTGATTTTTTTTGGTTTATGTATTTTTTTCTCGCGGGAGCACTAAGAAAATATAATTTCATTCCAAACACGCTTCCTCTGGATTTGAACAATGAAAACTTTCAACTCAGCAACTTGATTTCAACAAAAATTGACAACTGTTAACATTGAGCAAAAGTATTGATCCCATGCATCTTATATCGCAAATCGCCTGTCATAGAAAATAACCTCTTTAGATGTTACTACACAAACAGTAAACATCCTGCAATTTAAAACTAGTTTTCATTCCCCTACAATGACCTTGCCAGCCCAAACAGTTTTACGCAAAATAAATAAGTCTTGACTAAACAAGATATGGGTTTAAAAAATCTCTGATATTCTGAGCAAATGCATTGTGCTGGTATTTATTTAGATGGGTGCATTATTAACACATAAAACACACACACACACACACACACACACACACACACACACACACACACACACACACACACACACACACATTTTCGTCATTTACTATGTACACAAGTGAGTATTATTACGATAAAACAAGTCGCCTCAATGACCAACGAGGACTGCGGGGTCCAATCCTAAACTGGATGCCCTCGGGTCTGGGTGAGACTTGTGAAAGACAGGGAGTGATAAGGTTGGATGGTTGGTAGTATAACGCCGCACTCAGCAATATTCCAGCTATATGACAGCGGTCTGTAAACAATCGAGTGTGGACCAGACAATCCAGTGATTGACATCATGAACATCGATCTTCGCGAATGGGATACGATGACATGGATCAACCAAGTCAGCGAGTCTGACCACCCAATCTCGTTAAGTCGCCTCTTTTGACAAACATAGCTGCCTTTTAAGTCAAGCGTGTGTTTCTGAAGACCTATTCTAACCCGGATCTTCATGGGTCAAATAGCAAGCAATCAGTCTGAGACTTCAGTCACTTGGCCATTGCTGTAGTCTAATGAAATTTTGTTTGGTCTTGCACACTGAGTTAATAAAACTACAATCCATGATGCCAATAGACAATTTTTGGCTACAAGACATTCAAAAGTATCCTTGTGTCTGATGATCAGTGCACTGTTTAGGACATACAAAGTCAGCGCCGTGATATTGCTGGAATATTGCTAAAAGCGGCGTAAAACCATACTCACTCATTCACTAAAGTTATTTTCATGACAATATTTCCAAAGAAGCACACTAAAGTTTAGAGTTTGACATTTTCAGTAGGCCAAACAGAGCTTGATAATACCAAGCCCTTCATATATTGACATGGCAACCTAACAAAGGAATGAGGTCAGTGTCATCTAATGACATCAACTGGAAGAGCGATGGGTAGCTAGTGTTTAAAGCGTTCGTTTGTTCATCTGATGGTTTCGATTCCCCACATGGGTAAATTGTGTGAAGCTAACTTGCATATATTCCCCTCCGTCATATTGCTGGAATATTGTTGAACTGTGAAACAGTACTGACACTGACATCAACGATAGCAATCTGGAGACGATGACGTATGTACTCACCACAACGTTGCCCCCTTTTGGTATGAGCCCTTTGTTGGCTGCGCTGTACCAGTACTTCAACACTGAGAACAGAACACGCGGAAAGAAGGTAGATTAGGTTTGGTGGATACAAATAAATGCAAAATATCAACTCAGGAGCACAACCAGCCACGCCACGACCAGCTGCCGAAACAGTCTCCACTGGCGAAAAGGCAAACTAGGTGATGAAAACTGTAAAAAGGTGATGAAAACTGAAGACCAGCGATGACAGCAGGTGACAGCGACAAAAGGAGGCACGCCCCGCCGGCATCTTCCGCTTCAGGCTACCAGACAAAGAAGACTCTAACATCGTATATATATATATTGGTCAGTTAAAGTTCTTTTCTGATGGCATTTTGTCTCAAAACTCACAGGGTAAGGAGGGTGGATCTTGTTTATGCTAACCTTTTGGTAGATTACAAATCTATAACAGTAAACTTGATTCCAGCGTGTTTCGGCATGGCTCAATACATCGTAAGCGTTTCTTCTTTGATAAATAATTTGGACATCTCAGCTTGAAACCTACCTGTTCTATAACACCCAAGTTTCCGACACCAATATCAACTATAACATCCACGTTTCCGACACCTATATTAACTAAAACATCCCAGTTTCCCACACCAAAATCAGCTATAACATCCACGTTTCCGACACCTATATCAGCTATAACATCCCAGTTTCCGACACCTATATCAACTATAACATCCACGTGTCCGACACCAATATCAGCTATAACATCCACGTTTCCGAAACCTATATTAACTAAAACATCCCATTTTCCCACACCAATATCAGCTATAACATCCACGTTTCCCACACCAATATCAGCTATAACATCCACGTTTCCGACACCTATATCAGCTATAACATCCACGTTATCGACACCAATATCAGCTATTCCTTCCAAGTCAGAAAACAGCAGAACATAATATATAATTATACTAACACAGAACATTCAAACATAAAACATGAATGCAAACATAGCAAACACTAGCAGTGACAGATAAACTTAAGCATTTTCCAAACAAATAAAAGCGACAAAACCATTCCAGTAATCATAAGAAATCACTGCTGAAAGCAAAGTTTATTGCTCAATTCCGACTTTAACATAAGCATGTGTTTATGAATCTCTATCAAGTAGTGATGATGCTAGGTGTTTGCGTAGAGGTAAGCGTATCCTGCGACACAGGTGGCACTTGTCACAATCCCATGCAAATTCAAGTCAGTTGTTCACATTAATAAATACGGAAGCATAATTTTGATACAAGTCAAAACAGAGAATTGCATCAGACATCATTCCGGTCACTGATGATGGAATTATTCCTGTACTGCCCTACTGGTAGCTCGTGAAAATAACCAATTTGCATAACTATGAGACCCGTGAAACCCCGGGGTAGAATAGGTCTTCAGCAAACCATGCTTGACGTAAAGGGCGACTATGCTTGTCGTAAGAGGCGACTAACGGGATCGGGTGGTCAGGCTCGCTGACTTGGTTGATGCATGTCATCGTATCCCAATTGCGTGGATCGATGCTCATAATGTCAATCACTGGATTGCCTGGTCCAGACTCGATTATTTACAGACCGCCGTCATATAGCTGGAATATTGCAGAGTGCGGCGTTAAACAAACAAACAAACAAACAAACAAGCATAATTATGAAGTGTTTGTTTGTTGCCTGACGCCGCATGAAGTACTCCTGCCACATGACGACAGCATGTTAACTTTCGAGTCCAGACCAGACAATCGTGTGATGGGCCGGACAATCCAGTTCAGACAAAACACTCATAAAGCTACCTTACACTACATGGAAGTAAATTAAATGCTCAGAATCTCTTTATTACTACTGATACGCGTACAGGTGAATGAGACACTGCAACCTGATTGCCACAGCAATCTGACTAAGTGAGCGCCAGGTGATCTAAATAATTGACACATGCAAACCATCTGTTGATTTTGTCGCGGTCTCGTTGACCGAGTGGAGAGTGATCTTCTAGCTGTCGCAGGATGTTCAAATTGCAGGCGCACAATAAATAAATAAATAAATAAATAAATAAATAGATAGATAGATAAATAAATAAATAAATAAATAAATAAATAAATAAATAAATAAATAAATAAATAAATAAATAAATAAATAAATAAATAAATAAAAATTTGTCTCTTAGAACAGGGATGATAGATGACAAGGCCTCATAATGATATTAAACTCGGAAATAAAGGTAATATTACAATCATAGTTACTGTCTCATTTCTAAGTTTAGTTGACTCTATCTTCAAAGCTAAAGAAAGGCAAATATCTTATTTCTAGCAAGATTAATTTAATGAAACGCGAAGTGACTGGCGGTAAAATGATAATGGATAATGATATTGTCCCTTTGAATGACATTGCCTCGGGGATGATTATGTTCAGTGTGGCCAGGAACACCGAGGTTTAACACTACATGGTTGCTGAAATAATCAGAGAAATATTTTAGCTTGGTTTCATATTTGAAGCTTATCAAATTGAAAATATATGATTATTTTTAGTAGTATTGGGATAGCATGTGTAGAACCTGTTTGTTGTTTAACGCCTCAAATTGAGAATTAAAAATCAGAATTATTTTTGGAATTCAATGATGAGAATTTATATTGGATTCTTTGATGGAATTGTTGGCTTCAAAATCAGAATATCTTTTGTTTGTTTGTTTGTCGTTTACCGCCGAACCCAGCAATACTCCAGCTATATGACGGCGGTCTGAAAATAATCATTAACTTCGATCTATGCAATTGGATACAGCGACATGCATAAACCAAGTCGGCGAGCCTCACCTCTTGATCGAGTAAGTCGCCTCTGACAACAAGCATGGGTTGCTAAACACCAGTTCTAATCCGGATGTTCACAAGTCTCTTGCTAAAGTAATACGCAGGACTACATAGGATGTAATCTTAAAAACACGTGCATGCAACAAGCGCCTGTGTAATCAACTATGTGAAAACCAGGTGTTTCAGTTTACTTGATAAAACCACAAGACAAAAGATTTTGCAATGTGAATGTGTCGGGTAGCCCGGTGACCTAAGGCTCCGCTATTGTGAGTGATTGAGTTGGGTTTGACGCCGCTTTACCATTATTCCAGTTATATAATAGCCTGTTACCTTTACGTGGGAGGAAAGCCCTAAGTGATGCAGGTCTTACCACTGTAGAGAAACTCACGTGCACGGGTATGGAGGGTTGTTTATTATCCAAGATTTGTTCCGATTATGACTTTGGTGTCTACATTTCCCAACTTTTCAGGAACAAACAAGATACTCTTTCTATCCAGATTCCAAAGATCGTCACACTATTCTTGGTCAAACGAGGAAGTCTATATACATTGTATGGTCTCCCTGGTCAAACGTTATTTAATCAGCATTACATATTTCAGCATTAAATCTTAGTAAAGCTTTCAAAACGTGTTATGACAGACATTTCAAAATTTGACTCATAATGGACCAAACATAATGTCCGATTGAATTCCCTATTCAGACTTGTACCATATGTTCACATCATCACTTGACTTGCCTTTGCATGTGTTTGAGACGGGTGCCACCGTCGGAATCGTACAACGGATTCTGATGATTATGCAAATGGTTTCGCCGGTTAGGTAGCGTGTACCTTGCGCAAACATATCGGCGTGGATATACTACCGACAAAAGTAAAGGAACTGACGACTTGAATGTAGCTGGCGTTGCGGTGTAACATTTACAAAACTGGTGTGTTGCGTCTTAACGCAACATCAAATCACAATGAAATTTCACAGCATGCACTTGATGCACGTGCACACAGATGCAAACGTGTGTGCGCCTGTCGGCAACTTCGCAATCACTAATAGAATGGAGTCTCCGAGGCACTATCTCAATTTCTGTTGATGATGGGATGGTTTTGTCGCTTTCATTTTAGTGTGGTATTCTCACAGTAAACTGACATTATGTGACTGAAATATTACCCAAAGAGGAGCTAAGCTCATTCTCTCCCTCTGCATACAACATACGTCATACATGCATTTGATTTGAATTAACTTTCCTCGTCAAATATGAAGTTGACCCTCTATCACGAATAAGAAACAATTGGTCAAGTTTTAAACTGTCTTAAAATAAAGTACTGGAATTATAATCGAGCAAAGAACGGTATATGGTCACTTTAGTGATAATATACCGTAAACGAGAAATCTAAAATGATTCAGGAACTGACAAAGGGTATGTTTAGGACGTGAATCAGATTTGCTCGGACTACCATTTGTGCCAGGCTTAGTGCCCCTTTAATTCCCTGAACGAACCACCTACCTTCGTGATGTTCCTCCACGATGTAGACAGGGGTGATGTTGGAGAAGGCGTGGGTGGGGCTAGCGTGGATGGGGGTGGGGTGGGACGTAGAGTCCAAAGGTTCCGGGGCTGGTTGAAGGGGCTTGGCGATTCTTGCAAGTTCCCCACAGTTGGTAGGTTCCCTTGGTCCTGGGCAAGGGCCCCGCACCCGCCACAACAGAAAGGTGCAGGCGGCCCACAACACAAGGATCAGGAGGACCAACTCAAGGGTCCTTAACGGCCGGAATCGCATCTTCTCAGTTGGGAAAGAGCCCATCTGAAATTAGAATATCAACACTGATCCCGGATATTGTTGAAAGCTTCAGCTGTTCCAGTAATGGCCAATGTTGCCACACATCACAAATCTATGAATCTGAAGCTTGGAGTATACCTCGTGTCACACGCACTTGACAGCGAGCAACAGGTGGTCAGATCCTGATGACAAGAGGACAAAGCTTGCACGTTACTATTTTTATTGTTGATTGTGCCATATGACCAAAGTGGTTGGTATGGTGCATCGATTACGGGCTATCTAATTAATGTAAAGCACAATGTTGCATGGAGATTGTGTAAACGTAGAACATCTATGAAATATTCATGCTAATGGGTTTTCATGTTTTCATGTGGAAGTTTCGGGCAGGATCATTTGTACAGGCGATTATTTATGAATGTAACGAGAATTCGGGTTTCATGGAGTTGAACATTGGATTAACGATTATCCTTAAGGTACTTTGGTTATTTATTGAAGCGTAACAATCACGTAACTTTAAACAAAATGTGTTCCGTGATCGTAAACCAAACATTATATTCTCAGGCTATCTGTCACGTATATGATGTCATTGTGTACCGTTGTTCTGATCATATAAAAATAAAAATAAAATATTGACAGTCAGTTTAGTCAGGATGGTACAGTCATATATGAAGGTGTGGTGCATCGTGATGGTAGGTGCGTTTTCAGTCACAATGAGATAGTTTAATAAAGCGTCAACGCCATAGAATAATAAGTATCAAATTTCCAACGTAACAGATTCCATAAAGACAAATAGCGAGGAAAAAATATATGAACAGATCACTGAAAATCAGTGATGACACCAGGTGTTCGCGAAAAGGGTATCCATGGTCTTCCTTACCGCTAGCACCAACCATTCACACAATGCATAAAAAAAATGTTTCTTATTTGCTTAACGCCGCACATCAGTATTCCTGACCGTCAAAACATGAGTTCAAAATGTCTGCACTTGTACACAGCAGACGCAATTCCAAATGAACATACCGTGTTTATTAGTTTCAACAAAATCAGGAATGGCACTCTCCTGTCACTGGGATTTCTGGTTCATTGATCACTTGATTGTCTGGTTTGTTTTCAGACTGACGTCGCATGATAGGAGTACTGCTGTGTTGAGTCAGGCAATAAATACCTACCTCTTTATGCAGATAGTGTGAATGGTGGTTGCTACCATTAGAGCAGGACATGCTTATCCTTTCGCGAACACCTGGTGTTATCACTGATTTTCAGTGGTCCATTCTTTGATTTCCACAGCTATTTGCCCTTTACACCAAGTGGAATCTGTGTCGGCCGAAAATCTAGGCTATTTCTTCTTTTGTATTGACAATTTTTATTTACTTACCCGTTGAATGACCACTGACGAGCTCTGTTTGAACCAGCTTATAGTTACCTGTCTACCAACTCTCATATATATATATATATATATATATATATATATATATATATATATATATATATATATATATATATATATATATATATGCGCGATGTGGTCTATACGCGCGGAATCCATATCTTCTCATATAGTGAAACCTCGTCAATCCGGACACCGTCACTCACAATGAAGTTATGGATGTTGTAAATAGATCGTCTAGATTAAGGGGTCTGAACTAGTTGTCTAGTGTATGAAACATCTGAAACGATCCCGTTAGTCGCCTCTTACGACAAGCACAGTTTCCTTTTACGACAAGAATGGGTTGCTGAAGACCCATTCTAACCTGGATAAACACGGGTCTAAAAGATGGTACTGCCATGGTATGTCAGTGAGCAAGCATTATAAAACTTGCATAATTCCGGACTTGTACAAACCGCCTCAGTGGTTTAGTGGATTGAGCCTCTGCCAGGAGAGCGGAAGGTCGTGGTTCGATCCCCGGCCCCGTCATACCAAAAGACGTTAAAAGATGGTACTTGGTGTTATCAATCCTGGCGCTCGGCTTTAAGGGTCTAAAACAAGGACTGGTCGGCTCCGAGTTAGTGTAATGTGTCTGAATGGGATTTTCATGTTAAACTGCGGCGTGATATCCCAGTGGGCTAGAAGTATTATATCGGCATTAGTCCGGACTAGTACAAGCATCCACACAAAGTCGTGACTATATAAGTTCAATAACACGACGTTAAACTCCATTTCACCCACCTCACCCGACTAGTACAAGCAGCCACACGCACACACAAATCGTTATGTAAGCGAAACGATCTTGAAAAACTAATTTCACCTTCAATTCCACCTCCCCTCACCTCTGCCCTACAGTGGTGTCAATGCATTGTGTTCTCTAATGTTGCTACCTTCTCCCTGGCATATTGTCGGATAAGAAGATATTTGAGAGGCCATGTGAGAAGAAGCTGACTGAAAATCAAACATTTGAGTTAATCTTCTTAACATATTTGAGATATACATAAACAAATAAAGGGATACGCAAATAAGTTTAATAAAAATCAAAATATATAACTATTTGACTTTTTGTCTGGATTCGAAACTTCTCAAAACAAACCCCTTTATTTGATGATTTCAATATTTGATAAATTTTACTTCCATTAATAATTTTATGAGACAACACATTATTAGAAGGAAACGTGTTTCTTCATAATAATTTATTTATTTTATTTGTTTACAAAATCAATATTATTAGTAAATTTATATAAATAAACAACGTCAATGCATGAAAATAGCCACTCTTGATTATTGGCCGAAACAGATAAGCGAAGTTTTCAGTTGAAAAGAAAGAGGATGTGACAGGATAAATGAATGACTCGATCATTAAGAGACCTAAGACTTTATGATGTGTGTAGGCTGAAGCGTGTTGTGTTGTTTCTTTGAGTAGTGTTTGTGTGTTTATGTTAGATATATGCATTACTCGGATTAACATCGTTGACTTAAACAAAGAAGGTTAATGTCATTAATACTGACGCCCTTCACACAAACATCACGTGGACGTGTTCGTATAGGCGTGACAGAAACCTATGATCGTTGGTTCGAATCCCAGTGAGTCCCGATTATGTTTCAAGGTTTGAAGCTTCACTTCAGGCGATCCTCGGACATTAAGCTGACATACAACTGAAATACTGTTTAAAACGCCGTTAAGCCAAACTCTCATGTTGTATACTAAAAGAACAACTGAGGACGTGTTGGTGACCGATCAAGTGATACTACGAATGGGTATATGTTAGTTTGATTCTTTAACAACGTCACAAATAGCTTCAATTAGAATTGACGTGAAACAAACATACGAAACAACAAGAAGACAAAAACATCACCTGAAATTGATAATACAAACATCATCAGCGAAATTTCAGAAGTAAATGTCATGAGCAAACATTGAACTTTGAGTAAGACAAAGGTCTTGTCACAGATACCCATAAATCTCAACGTGTCTACTTTACGATTGCTAATACAAATATATACCACTGTCTAGTCACTCTACCGAGCTCAATAACATACAGTTTATTTGTTTAAAGAGGTTAAATGAAATCATTAAATCCAAGTCATGTAATAGTCTTTTTGATCAAATATCAAACTCCCGCTAACACTTACATGTTTCTCAGTCGCCGTACCACTAGTGTTCCTTTGTCGCATCCCCAAACACGATCCACGCACACCTGAGCTCCCCAGACATGTTAAGCGTCTTTTTACTGAAGGAAATCATGTCACCTGTCTTCCCAGACGCTGTGGACCTACCTGAGTCCCCCTACACCGTCACTGTCACGGGGAGCCCGTGACCAACCGACGCGCGAGTAGCTGATCCGCCAACATTCGTTAAGCCTCTTTCATTGTCTCCTGATCGCCTGCAGTCTCATCATAACAGTACAAGCCAAAGAACTTTATACTTCAACCAAGAGCTTACAATCGAAGGAAATGATTTGTCCATACAGTACACACACATAGAGTCAAACCTGTCCTTGAGATTATGATAGGTCCTTATGAATATACACAAACTGAATATATTACAAATGGCAGAAAACTATGTCTCATAACATGGAAACTGTCGGTGAATGTTGATCAATATCAGGTTTCACAGCGTCGAATACTCGCGTGCCACCTTCTCGGTATTCTTGTCCTACTATAAATAATATGAAATATTTAATTATATAAAGATATATTGGTTTAGTAACGACCAGACTATTAATCCGAGTATATATGTGCTAGAGATTGAGGTAATAAAGTGGCGCTATGTTTCATTCATGATCTGATAAGAAAAGAACGGGCTTCAGTGAAGACGACACGGGATGGCTACTGTTCTACTGAAGATGTAATAACGCTCCGCTTTAGTGTATTTACTTACTCTACTTATTGTTTTTATTCAAGATACCAGGGTCCTATAACATGGGGGTATAAAATAACATGAGCTTGTTTACTCGTGTACAATATTCAGTTTCTTATCCGGAACCATGAACACAATTTAACGTATGATTTGAAGGGAGTGCCAAACAGTCATGTGATCTCATTTATAATTAAACCTTCAGATATTCTCCCATCACTCCTTACAAAAGGTCTGTGCCGTGGGAATATATAGCTTAGTGGTTAAAGTGTTCGCTCGTCACGAAGATCTAGAACGTAATACATGTTGAGATTAAAACTATAAATATCATGTGTGTTCTTGCCCCAAGATCTACACTGTAATGCAAGTTAAGATTATCCATAAAAGAGAAATAAAATCAAAGTCATACTTGTATCAAACTTTGGGCGCGGGACAACTTCACAGTTTAATAGTGGTTAAATTGTTTGTTCATCACGAAGACTCGGGTTCGATTCCCCACGTGGGTACAATGTGTGAAGCCCATTTCTGGTGTACCCAGCCTTGATGTTGCCGGAACATTGCTAAAGGCGGCGTTAAACCGGCGTCAAGCTCACAACAATATTTTTACTATGCACGAGGCTGTGTATATCTAGTTGGAAGGTTACACAGTACATATGCTCGTGGGTTCGAACCCATATTCGCCCAAAGTAAGATTCTTGACACGTCAGCACCATACCCGGACTCTTTGATTTCAACACAGTGGTAAACATCTAAGGCCTGCATCACCTCGGGCTTTCTTTCCACACCATTCTGCCACGCCCGGACATAACTGAAATACTGTTCGCAAAGGTGTTAAAGCAAACACAACGGTTTTGACAATGTTTCAGTTATACGGCGGCTTATAAGTTAAAAGTGACGATAACCACTTTAATAATTAAAACCTGCCAACAGTTAATGTTTTCCAAGAATATTAAGCAGGCAGTATCTGGGGTTCGAACCATCAAATACTGAAGCACAAATAAGTGACACGCATTGTGAATTGTGGGGCCTTAGGAACCTGCACTCCAAAATACTCGTGGTTTTTTTTTAATATGGAAATTATCAACCTCGTCCCGTTGATAGGTATTTATCTCGCCAAAGGCTCGTCAAATTCAGATTAACTAAGACTCGGTTGATATTTCCAATATGTCCAAACCCCAACTCGTGATGACTCCTCTACATTTCCTCTGTGCAGTTGATTACATTATCAGTACACAACATATTTACTGACAATTAATATGTAGCACAAACTAGAAATAGATTTTCACACTTTAGTCTTCAGTGGGACTAAATTGACGCTTCAGTGTCATTGGCAGATATGTTCGGCAATGATAGTAATCAAACATGACCATCTGTCACAGTCAAGCTTTGGCCGCTGGGAAAGCCATGTGGTTAAAGCATTCGCTCTTCGCTCCGCAGGACCGGTACGATTCCGGACATGGGTATAAACCAATGTCTGTGTGACGTTTTGGAATATTGCTAAGAGCGGCGTAAACCAATACTCATTCATATTTTAAAATCTTCAATGACAGATTGCTCGCTACAAAGAAACCATGTAATGACAGAGTCTTCTGCACCGTCTTCAAAGTTAGATAGTCTTCGATCTGGAGACTATCAATCATTCGTTCAGCCATGTGTGTTCCCAAGGTCTACATTATAATGCATGGTAAGATTAAACATAAAATAGAAATAAAATCAAAGTCACATGGATATTCATACTCGTATTTCTGTCAAACTAAGCAAGAACGACAAATTCACATTTAATAAGTCGACATATAATCGTTCATAGTTGTATCAGATGCAAGAGTGTCGATATTGCCTTCTCATCGGATACACAAAGGTATATGTCAACTCCATCCTCCGTGTATAACGTATATTACACACCCATAATTTTTGTCAGTCGACGTCTTCAACATTACAAAGACAGACTGTCTACATTCGGCTCATGGATTGCGTATGCCGTGCATTTGGGGAGATTTAGTGCTTTGCACAGGTTGTGTTATAAATAGACACGAGGACCTGTTAAAGTGCCCATTTTACAAAAATAGCAAGGAAAAATTAATTACCGAACCATCTGATGTAGAACCATCCTTTAACAAATGTATAATTCTATCTAATATTGTATTTAATGTATTATTAAAATACTTTGTATATCAATATCATTAAAACGAAAAATATCCACGCATTTGCGAATGTAAAACTATGAATGTAAATCTTTAATACAAATTCATTAAACCTCAAGGCCAGAGGGTACGGTGTTTCTTAAGTAGAGAGAAATATACACACGGTGTTTCTTAAGTAGAGAGAAATATATACACGGTGTTTCTTAAGTAGAGAGAAATATACACACGGTGTTTCTTAAGTAGAGAGAAATATATACACGGTGTTTCTTAAGTAGAGAGAAATATACACACGGTGTTTCTTAAGTAGAGAGAAATATACACACGGTGTTTCTTAAGTAGAGAGAAATATATACACGGTGTTTCTTAAGTAGAGAGAAATATACACACGGTGTTTCTTAAGTAGAGAGAAATATATACACGGTGTTTCTTAAGTAGAGAGAAATATACACACGGTGTTTCTTAAGTAGAGAGAAATATATACACGGTGTTTCTTAAGTAGAGAGAAATATACACACGGTGTTTCTTAAGTAGAGAGAAATATACACACGGTGTTTCTTAAGTAGAGAGAAATATACACACGGTGTTTCTTAAGTAGAGAGAAATATATACACGGTGTTTCTTAAGTAGAGAGAAATATGTACACATGGTGTTTCTTAAGTAGTGAGAAATAAACACACGGTGTTTCTTAAGTAGAGAGAAATATATACGCGGGGTTTCTTAAGTAGAGAGAAATATACACACGGTGATGCTTAAGTAGAGAGAAATATATACGCGGTGTTTCTTCAGTAGAGAGAAATATACACACGGTGTTTCTTAAGTAGAGAGAAATATATACGCGGTGTTTCTTTAGTAGAGGGAAATATACACACGGTGTTTCTTAAGCAGAAAGAAATATACACACGGTGTTTCTGCAAGGAAATCATACTATAAAAAAAAAATTCTAAAAGAAGAGCGTAATATACAGGGAACACAGTCATCAGTTACAGGGTAATAGCGTATTTAAATAATTCTGATTTTCAGAGTTAAGTTTCCGGAAAAAAATAATGTTAATTTTGCTATGAAGTTCAACAGTTTATTCATGCAGTTTTACGATGACAACATCCCCTTGCTCCACCGTTCCATCTACCGCTACGAGAAGCGTGTAACCTGTTTCAGTGGAATGACCGTGCAACCTGTTGACAATGATGGCGTCCACAACTTCTCCTACGGTTAGGTAGAGAAATAGTCGAGGCGATGAAAATGTGATTGGCTTATGACATCTGGTACACTCTGTATCTCAACACCTTCCGAATAGATGGATTATTAACCCCAACCAGGATGAATACACTAGCGTTCACAGTATTGTATTAAGCAGATGTAATAGGAATTTGACTTAACAGAACTTGGACTCAGTGTTGTATCTAAGTTAGTGTTTGTAAACATCTTCATTTCTACACTCTGTAGTGTAGCTTAACATGAAACTATCAAGGTGTTATCCACATGGGTGTCGACTGCCACGGTTTACTCTGCTGGGGTTGATATGTTTGACGATTTGGATAGTTGCTGTGTTCATCTTTAGGCAAGCATGGATTTCCTGCTTACCCTCTGTTAACCCGTATTCCTACACAAAAACGTTGGTCTCAGACACCGCTTCTCGAACGCCAACAACACCTGTCTACGTCATTGAAGAGCACCATGAAGGTGAGTGACAAACGGTAGGATGATTTCAGGAGTCAATAAGTTTGGTTTTTCGCTCCTTTAAAAACTATTTGAGTCTTGAAGATGAATGCGGAGGAAAACAAAAAAGCGCAGGTCACACATGTTTACAACTTTAGTAAAACGAGCACAGGCATAGTGCAGTCAACAAAGGATGAAAAAACCGTTTCGAACCCACGACAAGAGAATATCCTGGATCACACAAAGGAACGCAAATTTGTATATCCCTCATGCATCGGTTTATATAATTAATCACCCAACACCCAAAATAATGTTTACTGCAAGAGACTTGGGCCTTTCTTGGGCGATGTTTTAACCACTCCTCTTCCGTTTTTAAACAGCACTATTGTACTGGTACCACGCAGCTGAGAAGGGGTTAATCAAGCAGAAGGGAAACGTTCTTGTGAGTAACAGTTGTAAAAGCCATAAAACCTTTCCATAATCATAAGAAATCTCTGCTAAAAGCAGAGTCCATTGTACGATTACGACTACCTGTTTATGAATCACTATCACATGGTGTAAAGGTCGAAAAGCGAAAAGGTCAATGTATTATACCTCCCTTGAATAGCTTTTTGGTGAGAATAACAGCACATGTACATGTATCTATTTTCATATATCAAGTATAAACAACCCATCTACCACATTGTCTTTATATCTGTTTTAAGAAAAGATAATTTCAGGTCATGCATTTAATTGATGACGCTACTTACATGTCCATCCTCCCCAGCTTCATATCGACGGCCACTCTGACGGTGCTCCCCCAGAACATCGTGATATCCTCCCAAAGTTTCGACTGCCGACGACGCGCGAGATTTATAACATGATGCAGAAAAACGACGTCTTTGTTATCGTGAGTACTTTACATTGCTCTCGCCCGAGGACTACCTGAATCACGTGGTCTAAGTTGCTGCCAGTCGTTGTGCAAAGGTTGAGTCCTTTATTTTGAGTTTGAATGATGATTCTGATTACGTTCGACAAGCTGGGAGTTTCTGGGGCTTCGACCCTGCCCTACACGTAACACACATTTCTAAAAGAATATATTGTCCCTAAAATGTCTTGCATGCTTCAGACCTTTGACAAAAAAAATCGAAATTGACTGCCAATTACTTTGTTACTGGGAGTTTTTCTTAATATTTTTCAGGTTTTCAGGTGAAGCTGAAAAAGTCTAATCTCGAAAAAAATCCTTATGTAAATATACATAACTGAGTATACTTGTCACGTGAACGCGTGCACTCATTTTTGTATATTAACACCAGGAGCAAAATTGCATCATGTTTGAAGCAGGTACAAATGTAAATGTAAATTTGCACTGTATGTATATGATGTTATGTGAACGTTTATGCCAGAGGTTGATCTAATATATATATATATATATATATATATATATATATATATATATATTGATTTGCCAACACCAAACAAATTGTCAACAGTTCTGAATTCTGAAGTTATTGCTATTCAGTAGACAGCAATGCCAACTTTTATGGGGTCACCCAGAGCTGGGCGGAAAGTGTTTTCTTTGGGTTTCAAGGAGTAAAAAAATGTGTACAGATTAAATCAAACACTTGCCGCTTCATGCTCTCTTCTCATTAGACATTGATCGGAAAACAACCTTTCTGTCGAAAGTCGTGAACATACAGATGAATATGTGTGTCTTATACCACGTTTACATGCGCCTCTATACATATGTGTGTATATGTGCATACATGTGTAGAAATACATACGTGAATATACTTGTCATGTGAACGCATTTACTCATGTGTGTATATTTACACCAGGGGCAAATTTGCATCATGTCTGGAGCAGATGCAAATTTTCGGTGAAGTAACTCTCTACTCATTCAATTTTGATTGGAAAACAACCTGTTATGTGTTGAAAGTCGTGGACAGTCTGACAAATGTATGTGTGCCTTACACATTTTACATACTTTATTTACACACCTAAGATGCTTTTCATGTGAACGCATAGTATATTTACATAGACGCACGTATGAATTGTAACACATGTGTAAAATTACTTACGTTTATTTACTTAGTAAATGTTGTGCATGTGAACGGGGTATTACACCATTTACTTACTTTATTCACACACCTAAGTTTCATGTGAACGCATAGTAAATGCACACATATGTAAAATTACACATGTGCAAAAGTACTTATTATTACGTTAGTAAATGTTGTGCATGTGAACGGGATATTAGTCACCGAGTCAAAGATCTGAGAAACATGTACGTCTCATTCCGTCTATTTCAGGCTGCAGCTTTCACAGGCCTTATTAAGCGATATATCTGGGTGTGGTCACCATGGGACACGAAGAGCGAGTTGCCCGATCACTTTGCAGCAAAGGTCAAACTTGGAACAGTGACGAGAAGGGATGTAGATGGCAAGCTGATTGAGGACATCTGTGGCTGCCCCGTCCAAGGACCTGGTGAGATGGAAGAATCTCAAGAGCAACCATGTTTGATGCCAAAAGACTCTAATCCAGAATCTCCCTTTATGGAGATGGATGGGGGAAGGTGTAACATACATCTGGAAGATGCCGTGATAGAGATAGTGTCGGAGAGGAAGGCGATAGAACTGATGAAAGCCGGTAATTGGATTACCTCCCTTGATAGCGTCATACTTGACATTGATGAGGACTATTATGGATGCGAGGCTGCTGTTCAGCCTCTGTATGATGTTGGCATAAAGCAGAAAGAGTTAGATTGGATAGGGTACTTTGTTAGCAAATTATTCTGTCCAAGTCTTCCAAGACAAGAGCTAGAGGCTGACAAATTCTTCGCGGATATAGTTGACAGGGTAATAAGTGTAAAACAGTTCTGTCAACGAAACAATATCAACTATTGTAAGAAGTCCTCCGAAATGAAGAAATATATCTTAACATCTTTTAATGATTCTATTGACGTCATAACAAATCGAAACTTAAAACCCGCACTATGTAAGTCGAACGCTCTTTCACTGAAAGCTATGGAAGCTCTCATTAAACATTTTGTCCAATATAACACACAGCAACTTCAAGCCATGAAAGAGTCAGGTATATGCTTTATGATCTCCCCACGGACACTTGTATTTGACGCTTCTGTTGGCATGCGCACATGCGACGGCTTCAACAGACCAAACGCAACCATTATTCCGTTCCACACGCCCACGACAGAGGAGGTGAGCTTCAGGACCAGCCAGCTCCGGGTGATGCTGGGCGCGGCGGAGATTCAGCCAGGTGTGGTCACTGTGTGTCGCTCTATGAGGGACGGATACACACCCAGGAAATATTTCCACGTCATTGAACAAGATGTCCTAGGTGTGTTGAAGGACGTGTTCCAGTCTGTAGATGACAAAGCCATATTTTACGACCCCTATCTGCTGGGCGGGACCTTCGGATGGCCAAACAGACATTAAGAGCGAACCATATATATATATACTTTAGTCAAGGAAAACATGAAAGGCATTATTTTTTGTCCGAGAAAACTTAAAAGACTTTATATTTTTACTCACAGCAAACACGAATTGACCTGCATTCGTAGAGTGTTCATCGTATTTATGGATATCTGTGTTTTGAAGACTGTACTTTTATGTGTGTTCTTGTTTTCATTTTCGAAGCATGTCTTATTAACTATCAATTTCTCGTCAGATACAAATTACATGCATTACATTAAACAGGATGCACACACCGTCTGTTGTAAGTGATCATTTCAAACAATTTTCACCACTATTTTCCCTATTATGCCTTGTGGAATCTGCGTCGGCAAATTGATTATTCTGTGGCGTTGACTTTTTTACTTTTCTGAATTCATTCATTTACATTTAGTTGCATAACTAGTGGAGCGTAATATTGAAATTGGCTCGCTTTTGTCGGTCGTGCTGACATGGGATGGCTATGAGAGGAGTGCAACACCCATGTAACATTAAGAGCAAGAGCGGATCATACTATGTGTGATCGGGGGCCAGGTGGACACGATATGTCAACGTTGAATGCGTGTCGACCATGATGCTGCAACACGTTCAAGTAGAGGTGGCAAGTCCCATTACCTGAACAACCTGTTGCTTCGTAGTAGACAGCCCCATGTCCATTATGATCACTGTTTATCACTCACAGATATACACGCCCACACAAATCACGCAGATTGTAACGTTCAGTGGAATCATTAGTAGTTCCCTATACTTATCTTACTTGGCGTCCCCGAGCTGGAACTAGTCTGTCATCGTACACGATATGAATGTCATACGATGTCGCGTACTGCGGAGTGTCGAGGTGGGTGTCGTCATAACGTTGTTCTCCGCAATGTTCTTGTATGTCATGTGGCAGACGTTGGGGACATGCGACCCCAACATTGCCCCCATCCTTACCTCTTGCACCACAGACCATGCCCCACCCCTAGACCCGGTGGAAGGGTCAAAGAGAGGTATCATCACCCCCGTGTACATAGTGGAAGAACATCACGAAGGTAGGTCAAGATCACTGGTTCAAATATATATATATATATCCTAATTACTGTGATATCACACTTTTCTATAGCGTCATTTATGACGCGAAGCGGATATCCTAGCTTCCTGAGATACCCCATCAATTCTTTCAATCTTAAGTCTCTTTTATCCGTTTCGTTTCGTGTCGGTGATTAAATTATACCGTTTGTGTCCACCTTCAATCCTAATAACTGTGATATCATGCCAGCCATAAGGGACAACCTCCCAATTCTACAGCAACGTAATAAAATGAAACACGGACTGAATAAATTTAAAATTATAAAAAGTACCAGACAACCAAAAAATCCCAAGCAAATTCTTTGTCCATCCAAATATTCTTGTACAGAGAGTGTACCATGTGTAAGTAGATGTAACACACCAAGATGCGGCACGTGTAACATCATAAGTGAAGGTACTACTTTCCTTTTTGCAAATGGCAAGGGTTTCAATGTGAAAGCCGACATGAACTGCCGCAGCAAAGATGTGGTGTATGTTATGAGATGTTCGGGATGCGGCGAAAACTACATCGGTGAAACCGGCATGGAATTAAAAGATAGAATCACTGTACACAAACAGCAGATTAGAGACCCTGATGTTCGATGTTTAGGTGTCAACAAACACATTGATGATTGCGGAAACGGGAAATTTACTATTTTTCCGTTTTATAAATTATATACAAGTAACAAGCAGCTGAGACTGGAAAAAGAACAAATGTTTATCCAACTGATGAAACCCAAATTGAACTCTAGAATGTATTAATAGATTTGTCATTTCAATCGAAAATGTTACACTGTTACTTTACAAATACTGTATATTTTAATTCAAATGTCTCCCTACAATTGTTAAATTACTTGGTGTCGTCGCTGGAGTGTGTAAATACATTATTACGTCACGTCATATTATATGTCATTGTCAGTTACACTGAAGAGCTGTACTATGTCTGAAACTGATATAAAGAAGATGATGGACTAACTAGGACTTTATTATTTTATTATATATTACATGTACACCGAGTGAACATTTACCTCTTATATATATATATATATATATATATATATATATATAGAGAGAGAGAGAGAGAGAGAGAGAGAGAGAGAGAGTGAGAGAGAGAGAGAGAGAGGGAGAGAGAGAGAGGGAGAGAGAGAAAGATAATCTCACCCGAGTGTTTTTTGATATCAAATATATCAACACGAGTTGATAAAAGTGGAAAAATTCCGAGGATTGCCGACGATTTTGGCCACTCTTATCAACGAGTGTTGATATATTTGATATCGAAAGACACAAGGGTGAGATTATATTTATCATCCAACATCATTTTTCCAGCTTTTTCAATTTGTTGACAGTAATTAGCAGTGTCTTCAGTGTAAAAAAGTACTGCTAACAGCTTCAGTAGCAGAGCCATTAGTGATGTCATTTGATTGTGACGTCATGGTAACCAGTGGCGTCACAATGGTCTGCAAAGCATTGTGATGTAATTTCATTGCAGCGATATCTACAGTGTAGATATCGCTTGATCTCATCCAAGCGATATCTCCTGTGGGAGCCAGTTTTGGATGATACATACATACATACATACATACATACATACATACATACATACATACATACATACATACATACATACATACATACATACATACATACATACATACATACATACATACATACATACATACATACATACATACATACATACATACATACATACATACATGCATACATACATACATACATACATATTGTGTTATCATACAATGACATCAGCTAGGGACTCACGTGTCGCTGTACTCTCAATGAGTGCTTTCTATATAAAACAACTTCTTAAATCATTACAATGATCGTCATAGTCCTTTCGGTGTATAGCCTATTGGACATAATTACCAGTCTACCTATTTCGTATATGCTATTGTGCTCCCCACTCTGAGGCCATTGTGCACTACATATAGAGTCCATCAATTATACATTTACTGTTATAAAATAAATCACACGAGCAAATACTTTTGATATTTAAGTTGACACATATTTTGCTGTAGTTGTCGGACAGTGAACATGTAAATAAACCTAACCCCCCCCCCCCCCCCCCCCCCCCCCCCACACACACACCCAAAATTAAAAAGTGACATTTCAAGGAAGGTCACATGTTACAATTAATTTGTGACCAACTTGAATCTCAAACTTATTTGTACACGTGTTTTACATAGTTTTACAAAGTGTAGTTGACGGACTATACATGTACAATTTTAATGCAATGACATTACATTTCCCAATTTCCGCACCTAAATTGTAGTTAAGAGTACATCCACTGCATTGCGCAAAACGCAGCCGTTTGCTGGCTCTGCAGTAGACAAGCAGGTGCACTGATCAATAATAGTATGTTATATAAAACGAGTAAATCGGCAATATCACTATCATATTTTTTTTAATAATGATGATATAGCCTGTAACACAATATGTGTATGGTGAAGTTTTACATGGGTAAATGACCTTCCAGCAGTAACAAACAGTCATTATTAATATTATTAATATATACTCTGTGTACATCTGGTATCGTCTAATGAAAAAGTCACGTAAAGAGAACATCCCCGAAATTTATCTGTAAGGGTGGCGTCAAGCATTTACGAAAACGAACAAATGATAAAAAGGAAAATTTAATTTTGTTCTGGGTAAACATGGGGGACGGGTGGCCCAGTCGCCTAAGGAACCGCTATTCACTGTATAGAAAAGTCATTTAAAATTCCAAGACATACTCTCCTGAAAACTAATGAAAAATCTGTGGGCGATCAAATTATACCGTTTGTGTCCACCTTCAATCCTAATAACTGTGATATCACACTTTTCTATAGCGTCATATATGACGCGAAGCGGATATCCTAGCTTCCTGAGACACCCCATCAATTCTTTCAATCTTAAGTCTCTTTTATCCGTTATAGAGTCCATCAATCATACATTTACTGTTATAAAATAAATCACACGAGCAAATAAATTTGATATTTAAGTTGATACATATTTTGCTGTAGTTGTCGGACAGTGAACATATAAATAAACCTAACAATGACATTACATTTCCCAATTTCCGCACCTAAATTGTAGTTAAGAGTACATCCACTGCATTGCGCAAAACGCAGCCGTTTGCTGGCTCTGCAGTAGACAAGGAGGTGCACTGATCAATAATAGTATGTTATATAAAACGAGTAAATCGGCAATATCACTATCATATTTTTTTAAATAACTTTGTAACGATGTTTAGATTCCTATGTACGATACAAGGACACCAGGTTGGCAAAGCATCGCATGTGCCTTCTAGATCGTACTTCGGGGAAAACATTCTCCTTTGTTTGTATTTACAAACTTCGTAACAAACTTCGTAGCAAATACTGCCTTCAAGCTTGGCGCTAGCTGATTAACATCCCCTCGACGTAATCTATCTATCTATCTATCTATCTATCTATCTATCTATCTATCTATCTATCCATCCATCCATCCATCCATCCATCCATCATCAATCCATCCATCCATCCATCCATCCATCCATCCATCCATCCATCCATCCATTCATCCATCCATCTATCTATCTATCTATGTTTCTTTACAAGTGTTATGCTCACACTGAAACACAGAACCCGAAATCGAATATCTGATGACATGTTTTTAAACTGCTTCGCCGCAATAATTACAGACTTCATTGTCCTCTGTTTCTCCGTATCAAATGATATGATTCAGTACTGTGGCCAAACATACTGTGCTCTTAAACCAACTGCTCATCATGTGTCACCGGTATCTTGGACATTTATCAAATTGAAATCAGTCACATATGTTGCTTTTTAAAAAAGAATTTTGGAATATATGAAACTACATAAGGGGTGATGGATAAAAGTGTTTATCTTAAGAATAGGTGAACTTAATTCGATTGAAATTATTGGTCTGAAATATAACATCGAAAACTGTATCAGCCCATGTTAGTTGTGCTACGTAAAAGCCATTGATAAACAATTTCATTCATTTAAAGTTGTCAGTGTTGTCAGTGTTAAGAATAGGATTCTAATCTATTACTGGAAATATACATTATAATACAACACGTCATGTGTAAATAGATTGAATTTCTTTCTATTTGTGGAATCTCTCATTACTTAAAAAGCCATTTTAATGTAGCCTGCCCACATGTAACACAATATTTGTATGGTGAAGCTTTACATGGGTAAATGACCTTCCTGCAGTAACAAACAGTCATTATTAATATTATTAATATGTACTCAGTGTACATCTGGTCTCGTCTAATATTAGTCACGTAAAGAGAACATCCCCGAAATTTATCTGTAAGTTTGTTCTGGGTCAACATGGGGGACGGGAATCGCAGTTCACTGTGTAGAGTTGCGTCCCTTTGGCACACAAAAATCTATGCTTCTGAGTTCGAATCCCTGTTCGACCCGATTATGTTTCTAGGTTTGTCAGCACCATACCCGTGCTCGTGGGTTTCACTTACGTGGTAAACGTCTGAGACCTGCATCACGTCTGTCTTTCCTCCCACATTAAGCTGACACACCATGATATAACTTGAATAATGTTCAAAGCGGCGTTAGAACTCAACTCACTCATTCCGACCAAACAGTAGTTAGTCCAACACACGCCACCAGCTTACGCTGATATCCAAAACTACATTTCGCAATGTTCTTGCGGACAGTACGATCTAATTGTTTGCTATTTATTCCTCTCTGTTGTCGTCTCCGCCTACACTAAGATATTCTCATGGTTTGTGTTATGAAATTCAGATGGTATAAAGTCGTTATTGACGAGGCGCACACAGCTATCAGTTTAGAGACATGAATGATGGTGTTTGTTGTACTGTTTTGTCACACAGCTGTCAATCAACACTATACACATGAGAGCAATGCATTCAGATGACTCCTGATACTGATTCAAGTAGTCTTGGTTGTACTGTTTTTATCGCACAGCTGTCAATCAACAACATACACGTGAGAGCAATGCGTTCAGGTGACTCCTCAAACTGATTCAAGTAGTCTTGGTTGTACTGTTTTGTCACACAGCTGTCAATCAACACTATACACATGAGAGCAATGCATTCAGATGACTCCTGATACTGATTCAAGTAGTCTTGGTTGTACTGTTTTTATCGCACAGCTGTCAATCAACAACATACACGTGAGAGCAATGCGTTCAGATGACTCCTCAAACTGATTCAAGTAGTCTTGGTTGTACTGTTTTGTCACCCAGCTGTCAATCAACAACATACACGTGAGAGCAATGCGTTCAGGTGACTCCTCAAACTGATTCAAGTAGTCTTGGTTGTACTGTTTTTATCGCACAGCTGTCAATCAACAACATACACGCGAGAGCAATGCGTTCAGATGACTCCTGAAACTGATTCAAGTAGTCTTGGTTGTACTGTTTTGTCACCCAGCTGTCAATCAACAACATACACGTGAGAGCAATGCGTTCAGGTGACTCCTCAAACTGATTCAAGTAGTCTTGGTTGTACTGTTTTGTCACCCAGCTGTCAATCAACAACATACACGTGAGAGCAATGCGTTCAGGTGACTCCTCAAACTGATTCAAGTTGTCTTGGTTGTACTGTTTTTATCGCACAGCTGTCAATCAACAACATACACGTGAGAGCAATGCGTTCAGGTGACTCCTCAAACTGATTCAAGTTGTCTTGGTTGTACTGTTTTGTCACCCAGCTGTCAATCAACAACATACACGTGAGAGCAATGCGTTCAGGTGACTCCTCAAACTGATTCAAGTTGTCTTGGTTGTACTGTTTTTATCGCACAGCTGTCAATCAACAACATACACGTGAGAGCAATGCGTTCAGGTGACTCCTCAAACTGATTCAAGTTGTCTTGGTTGTACTGTTTTTATCGCACAGCTGTCAATCAACAACATACACGTGAGAGCAATGCGTTCAGATGACTCCAAAACTGATTCAAGTTGTCTTGGTTGTACTGTTTTTTTATCGCACAGCTGTCAATCAACAACATACACGTGAGAGCAATGCGTTCAGATGACTCCTGAAACTGATTCAAGTAGTCTTGGTTGTACTGTTTTGTCACCCAGCTGTCAATCAACAACATATACGTGAGAGCAATGCGTTCAGGTGACTCCTCAAACTGATTCAAGTAGTCGTTATTAAACGGATTTTTACAACTGTTAATGGAGCATATATTGATTATGAATATGTGCGGTGTGCGAGTGATATCATTCTGTACAGTACAACCAACCAACATGTTAATCTTGTTCATGTAAGCGGGTGTAATTTTAAGCCGCTATCAACAAGGTTCACTACATAATTGTTTGATAGGCATTACTTAGAAGTTGGTCTCCATACATGGTGTCCACTTTGTTCAATACATAGTCGTGGGATTCGAACCCGGCTATAGAGGGTTGCGTCCCTTGGGACCGGTTCACCCTGATTATGTTTCTACCTTTGTCAGCACCACACCCGCGTTCTTTCATTTCATCAAAGTTGTAAACGTCAAAAGCCTGTACCGCTTCAGACGATCCTCCTACATTGAGCTCGAACGTCAGGATACAACTGAATTGTCATTGTAAATAATTTTGTGAAGGGTACCTCCTGTGATGCAGGATACGCTCAACATTACACGTGGTCACGATATAGTCGTAATCAGACAATAGGCTCTAACAGAAAATACTTATCTGCCCTTGATTTGCATGCGCTAAACGGTAGATGTTTAGGTGAATATAACTTCCGGTGCGTACACACTCCAGTCGCTTATAGCAATGGCGTATTGTCACTGCTGCTTTAAGCAAATATTTCTTATGATTATGGAAATGATTTTTTGTTGCTTTTATTTACATGATGTTTTGTGCGGTTCTATTGGTAGTGTTACTCTACTGGTTTGACGCTGCTGAGAAGGGTTTCATCAAACGGACAGGAAATGTGTTGGTGAGTAAACAAGGAGAGTAATACCTGGCTCACCAGTACAACATAAGGATAATAAGTTGGTATCACTAAATCACTACGTATTATTACAGGTAAGCATGCCAAAGCATGTTTGTTGATACTAACACATAGGGATGGGTATCACAATATTTTGCAATGCACAAGGTCCTATTGTGATACGTATCAAGATATATTGTATAATTCTAACATTAAGGTGTGAACCGAAGTTCATAAGTGGAACAAAACAAGAAACTGGTACAACATAAAGTTTACTCATACAATAAATACGCAGCCATCTTGGAGCCCCGGATGCTCGCTCCTTGGCAGCAAAGGCATTTTGCAAGTAAAAACATTTAATGTTGAAACATATGGAAACACAAAGGCAAATACTATTGCATGATGCAATGGCAGATTAACTGCAGTAATATGAAATATCGGGTTTTCTTGAACCTCTTTTGAGTAGTATATAAATAAATAAATTACTAGTGATTCCTTGACATTTTGATTGGCTAACGAAGCAATATTATTTACCTTTATGTTTCCATAAACCTAAACAGTAGGAAACGCCACTAGCGGGTTCCTTTTCCTGACTTGCAGATGATAGAGTGAGCCAGGCTTTGTTGAATTATTGCACTGAACGATATCACTGATTTCGTATCGTTGTCTACAAAAAATACTTTAGTCAATTCGTAATTAAAACAGGTACTTTTGCAGACATTTTTAAAAAAGAAGCAAGCCTACTCGAGACAAGAAATATTTACATGTATGCATACTTGAAAGAAAATTTATATTTAGATACACTTGAAACAATGTTCGTAATTTGGCAGAAGTTCAGCAAAGATTACCTGAAAAACACACATGAAATATGATTTATATGCAAGCAAACGTGAAACAAGGTTCACATGTAAGCGTCTTCGGCGTGACGAGCGAACGCTTTAACCACTAGGCTACCCGACCGCCCCTTTATGTGCCTGAATACAAAACCGGTTTCCATGTATGCATACTTGAAAGTGGAATGTGTATGTATACAAAACCGGTTTCTATGTGTGCATACTTGAAAGTTTGTGTGTATGAATATAAAACCGGTTTTGTGTATGCATACTTGAATGTTTATGTGTATGAATACAAAACCGGTTTCTATGTATGCATACTTGAAAGTGGAATGTGTATAAATACAAAACCAGTTTCTATGTATGCATACTTGAAAGTTTATGTGTATGAATACAAAACCGGTTCCATGTATGCATATTTGGAAATGGCATGTGTGTAAACACAAAACCGGTTTCTATGTATGCATGCTTGAAAGCTTATATGTGTGAATACAAAACCGGTTTCTATGTATGCATACTTGAAACTTAGTTTGTAAGTTTGTAAGTAAGCAGTTTTGTCAGAATAAAAATATGCAGGCTGTAAAAGTTCTGAGATGATTCCTAGGCTAAGAGTCCAATTTAACGTTTTTACAATCAGATCGCGACACACAGTCATATTTGTTTGACAGTGTAATAGGGGCCCCGGCGCAGTCAATAATCACCTATAAACGTCAAATTCTGAAACTATGATCTTTTCAGCTCCACATCGACGGCCATTCCGATGCCGCAACTCCAGAGCAGCGCGGCATCTTGCCTTTCTTCAGGTTTCCAACAGTACGGGACATCTACAACATGATGCAGAGAAACGACGTCTTCATTGTCGTACGTATATACACTATATCCGCCATACAACATGGGGTGATAGGGTAGCCACGTTGTTCAGGCGTGGTGAAACTATACTCACTCACTCAGTGCCATTGATAGAATGCACAAAGTTATAAATAGACGAAACACAATTGGAACAAACCTGTTCTGTCTCAGCCAGCTGCCATCCAAATGCCTACATGAAAAAGTCGTAGTTGTCCCAACTGACAAATCCTCAAATAACATAACCATTACATGTAAGCATCACCATAGTAATTGTTTGATCAAAGAACTATGGTATAAGTGATATCAAATATTGGAATTCTCAAAAACAAAGTTAACGTATTTGCTTGAAAAATAACCAATTTAAATTATGCCAAAACAGTTGTGCACCATCATCCCGCACGACAAAAGTAAGAAAATTTCATTCCTTGATCATGGGGCAGGGTAACTTTTTCGTGAACACCCGGTTTTATCACTATTTGATGAGTATTCATAAACACGTGCTTGTGATATATACGGAATTATATAATGGACTCTGCTTTTGGCAGACATTGCTTATGATTATGGAAAGGGGTTTGCCGCTTCTATTTCATATTACGTTTGGCGTTCCATTTTTTGACACTTTTCATAAAATCTTAGAAACACTTGCCCATGTCTGCTATAATGCCGTTTAAAGGGAAACTGTTAAAAGACTCAGTTGCTGTCCTTGGAAGAATCTTTAATTAGGTGATGAAGCATACGTCCCCGCATTGTAACTCAACTCTTGTAAACCAGTCACACCTACAAATTTCCCATTTGTATTCGAATATCTACCAACACACAAGCACGCACACTCAGACACACCCATACACACCTCCTACATATTAGGTATCCTCTCTATTTCCCAGGCTGCGAGTTTCACCGGTCTCATTAAGCGGTACATCTGGGTATGGCCACCATGGGACGGTGCCGATGCCATGTCAGATCACCACATCGCCAAGGCCAAACTAGGAACTGTCTTTAGAGAAGATCAAAATGGAAACATGATAGAGGATATCTGCGGATGTTTTCAGACATACCCTGAGGATCTTGTCTTGCCCAGAGGAGAACACTGTTTTATGCCCAACATTACAGACCTATACAGCGAACATGAGGAGGTTTCTATAGATAAGGAGAGGTGTAAGATACGGGTGGACGATGCATTAGTGGAGATAGTCTCAGAGGAGAAGGCTATAGCGCTTATGAAAACAGGTAACTGGATTACCTCCCATGACAGCGTCATCCTTGACATTGACGAGGACTACTACGGATGCGAGGCTGCAGTTCAGCCTCTTTTTGATGTCAAAGTCACACAGAAAATGTTGAATTGGATCGAATTCTTTGTCGGCCATATTTTCTGCCCAACACAACCGAGGCAGGAATTGGAAGCAGATAAGTTCTTCTCTAACCTCCTGGACAAAGTGATTGACGTCAAAGTAATGTGTAAACAAAGGCCTAATGTATCCCCACTTTGCAGAGACGACAACGCAATGCGAGAACACTTGTTTAAATCAGTTGACGCCATTTTTCAGACTGTCGCCCAACGGAAATTACGACGTGCCCTTTGTGGCCGTGATAACTTTACAAAGGTGGCTTTAAGAGGTCTCATGAAAAGATTCAGTTCGTATAACATAGTCCAACTGAAAGCCGTGAAAGAAAATGGAATATGTTTCTTTGTGACGCCGAGGACCTTGGACCCAGTGAAGGGCATGCGCACATGCGACGGCTTCAACAGACCAAACGAAACCGTTGTTACGTTCCACACGCCCACGACAGAGGAGGTGAGCTTCAGGACCAGCCAGCTCCGGGTGATGCTGGGCGCGGCGGAGATTCAGCCAGGTGTGGTCACTGTGTGTCGCTCTATGAGGGACGGATACACACCCAGGAAATATTTCCACGTCATTGAACAAGATGTCCTAGGTGTGTTGAAGGACGTGTTTCAGTCTGTTGATGACACTGCTATATTTTACGACCCCTATTTACTGGGCGGGACCTTCGGATGGCCAAACAGACACTGACGAAGTTTAGATTTGATTACAAATATTGGTACAATTATGCATATCAGCTTGGGATCTTAAATGTATAGATGTATTTTCGACAACATTTGGTAGTATCACTATTTGATAGTTTAGATTTGATTACAAATATTGATACAATTATGCATATCAGCTTGGGATCTTAAATGTATAGATGTATTTTCGACAACATTTGGTAGTATCACTATTTGATAGTTTAGATTTGATTACAAATATTGATACAATTATGCATATCAGCTTGGGATCTTAAATGTATAGATGTATTTTCGACAACATTTGGTAGTATCACTATTTGATAGTTTAGATTTGATTACAAATGTTGATACAATTATGCATATCAGCTTGGGATCTTAAATGTATAGATGTATTTTCGACAACATTTGGTAGTATCACTATTTGATAGCTATTTGTAGACTTATGATTTACGGTAGTCGGAATCTTACAATGAACTCTGCTTTTGGCAGATATTTCTTGTGATTATTGAAAGGTTTTTGTCGCTTTTATTTGTTGCAAATAACCCCTGAAGTAAAGCTCTCATTAGTAAGTATACATTCATTCACACATATGATGGATGTGGCGTAGCCTAGTGATTAAAGCGTTCCCTCATCACGCTGAAGACCCGGGTTCGATACCCCACATGGGTATAATGTGTGAAGCCCATTGCTGGTGTCCCCCGCCATGATGATGCTGGAATATTGCTAAAAGCGGCGTAAAATACAACTCACCCACTCATTTATGCATGTAAAGTGACACATCCTCAACTTTCAGGGGTCGATATTCTTAGGATGGTGCTGAAAAATGTGTTCCCCATAATGTTTGAAAAACATTAATTTGAACAAAATAAATCGTGCTCCCCCGTGGCTAGCCGAATATTAGATAGTAGATCATTCGGTTCTGGTGGCCATCGAAAATACATATCGATAAGAATGCATTCGGCACCACATCATTCAGTTGAAGATGACGAGGATTCACTGTTTATCACACAACCAGAATTGTACGTTGATAAAATAGAATTAATAAAATATTCTCGTTTTCACCCCTTTCGTTGGCCTTGTTGAACATACATATATACCCATCAACCTTTGACTAAAGATGACTATTTGACAGTTGTCTATCAATGAAACACAAAGATGCAAAGAATGACATCAATAATTTATAGTAAGTGTTACTGTATAATTTCATGGGTAAACAGTTGATAACGACATTAACAACACAAAATTATGATACCACCACAATTTGAAAGACCCGTGAAGATCCGGGGTAGAATAGGTCTTCAGCAACCTATGCTTGCCGTAAAAGGCGACTATGCTTGTCGTAAGAGACGACTAACGGGATCGGGTGGTCAGGCTCTCTTACTTGGTTGATGCATGTCCGCCGTCATACAGACCGCCGTCGTATAGCTGGAATATTGATGAGTGCGGCGTAAAACGACAAACCAAACCGAAAAACAACTTGCAAATGTATCTTGGATAAAAAGAGATTTGATCATATATATATATATATATATATATATATATATATATATATATATATATATATATATACATTCATAAATATACATATACAGAGAGAGAGAGAGAGAGAGAGAGAGAGAGAGAGAGAGAGAGAGAGAGAGAGAGAGAAAGAGAGAGAGAGGGAGAGAGTTGGATTGCGACCACTCTGACCACTTAGTTTATTTGGTTGTGAAGATAATGTAAATATTTCATGACAATGAAGACGTTTTTCTGCATCTGTTAATATATGTCTCGGGAAGATGTCACGATCTTCTTGGGGATCACCGTCAGAGTGGCCGACGATGTCAAGCTGGGAGGCGGTTGGACATCATAATAACATCATTACTAATACATAAGATAAAGTTATCGAATTCAGGATTTAACCCACCATCCTCAGTTTCTGACATGACCAAGGGACGCAACTCTGTACGCCGTGCATTTGATGAGCTGTGGAAGGGATCACCTTGACCATTGATCAGTCAATTACCACACCAATACTAAGAGGAATATACAAAATGATGTAGAAACACATCCATGATTTCAACGAGTCCCTTTAAACAAGTATTGGGTTACATTTTGTATAATGTGATAATAACATTATTTATGGGAATGTGAGAACAATAGGTACAGACATTTAGACCGTTGAACATGAATGAGAACTGTCTTACGCAAAGGCGTGTGGATATTTGACGAGTACAAAATGAATTAAAAACACTCAAGATTTTTGCAGTTTATAGTGAAGAATTTGATGTGGGTTCCCACTAAAATATAAACAAAATCATATTCCGCTTATAGATCGCCATACGTTTTAATGTTAATCGGACGCATCGCAGTAAATGGGGTTTTACGAAATTGTGGACTCTGTATCCCAGCTCTGGTAGCTACACACGGATCGACATCCGTCACGTTATGCTTTCCTCCCACACGAAGCTGACCCACTGTGGTGTAATATATGGGTAAAGAGAAGAAATTCTTTTCAGCGAATTGCGTTATTACTTATCAGTAGTTATGAACGACAAGAAACATGGAAGATACAGCAGCTGGTGCCCACAAATGTCACAACAGTGCATACATGTTTCCGACAACGAAATCCAACCCGTATAAACCAGTTTCACTCAAAAAGTATGTGCATTTTTTGTATTGACGACATTTATTGAACATTTTATGACATATTTTAACGCATTTACACACATTTGATGTTGATTATGACAAATGAACAGTGCTCTTCATGTCCAATCTAAATTAGTCTTGCACATCGATTTAATGTCCGCACATCGTGTTTACGTCGGGATACGCAAATATATCGATGTAGATAGGCTTAGCCGGGCCGCGGAAGACCTCGAGATGGTCAATATGTCGACATAATCAGGTTCAGTCAGACTGGGGAAAAAGACTCGAGTTAGTCGAAATGTCGAGATAATCAGGTTTATTCAGACGGGAAAAACCTTCGAGAGAGTCAATATGTCGAGCTAATCAGGTTCAGTCAGACGGAGGAAACTCTTCGAGACAGTCAATATGTCGAGGTAAATATATTCAGTCGTCCCGTGGCCTACTTTGAAATACGCGATATATCGATGTAATTTGGTTCAATGAGACCTCCAGGTCATTTCCATGCACGCCTATAAATACGTGCTTCAAATTGTTTTTATAAGCCATACTCAAAGCGCACTATAATGTTGCACGTAGACTCAATTTCCTGTCACGTAAATGTAGAAAAAAGCCTTAAGCTGCACCGTGGAAGTTTCACACCTCATTGCCCACACGGAAAGATAATATCACAAATATTTCATTATTTTTTAAAGTATACAAAAAAGGAGAAAAAGAGAAGATATACTTTTTTCTAAGTGCATGCCCTAGGCAATGCCGGTCGTAAGTGTTGACTAAATTAGCGCCTGGTGTTTACAATGTATTTCCTGGGTGATTGTGTAACATCGTACTCCCATTGTGCAGGTCGTTGTTTGTTCTACCAGTCATTTGTTTCCTTATCTCAGACTCGAGCATAGAAAGGTCGCCTCGACGTGGGTGGAATATTTCTGTTTAAAATTACTCATACGAGGGCTGGTCAGAAATTCAAGTATTCAAGATCAGTGAAGAAAGTTATGGCCACTGTATTCTGCATTCTAGGATGCAAAGGGTGTGATCCTTTTTGATTACTTAGAAAGTCAAAAGACGATTACAGTGCCTCCTATGCTGATTTGCTTCATCGCCTGAAAGATTCTCTCAAAGAAAAGTGTCAAGGAATGCTGACTGATGGACCATGACTACTACTTCATGACAATGCCTCTTTTCACACACCCCGACTGGCAAAGGCTGCTGTGCGACAATGTTGGTCTTAAGAGCTTCTTCAGCCTCCTTACTCGCCTGACCTGGCACCAAATGATTTCTACCTGTTTCCTAAACTGAAAGAACGCCTTCTCGGAAAGCGCTATGACGAAAAGCTTTACCGTCAATATGAGAAGTGTATTGAAAAGCCGGGAGATTATGTTGATAATAAAATTAGAACATTTTCACAATTGTTTGTTTTGTTTGTTAGGCTTTTAACCTTTTGACCAGCCCTTGTAAATGCAGTTATAAATTGACATAAGAACAGTGTTTATACAGAGAATGCTGATATGCGATCATATACAAATGTACAGTGAATAATTTCTTATTGTGATTCCCTAGCAAGCTTTCGAGTTGAGTTGATTGGTTCAACTGTGTCATATGGCCTTTGACGCAGGGGTAGCATTATGCAGATGGGTGTTACAATGAATGCTCGTTCCACCCGTGACGAACAGGTCTGGTTGTTGATATAAGGGTAACGCTTTTTTTCAGGGCATTATCATTTGCAGAAGCCCGAGGTCTTCCATTAACTGCCCGACGAAGGAGGGCAGTTGAAAAGGCCGAGGGCTTCTGCAAATGATAATGCCCTGAAGAATAGCGTTACCGTTATTATAGCTAAAATGGATGGAATTTTGTATCAAATAAAAAGAAACAACAATATCGGTTTTGAAACATTTACTGCAATCAACACAAATGTCACTGACCCACTATTACAAATATGGAAACGTCATAGAACAAACCAGATGACGTCACTATTTAACGTGACGTCACCTATGCCTACCCTATGACGTCACCCAACAACAGACATGATAATGGCCCGTCGTCAAGCCATATGAGTGCATTATCAAGTTACAGTGGCCCGCTGATTCTTGATAACATGCGGGCGGTTTACTGATAATTCTATCCATTTTAGCTATAATGAAATATAGTGATAGCTAAATAGACAGATTTCTTATTCATGCACCGATTGTCTTTAAATGTAATATCCAGTTATGTATGACTGTTTAATAATCTCATACCAACTTTGACTGGAGTAGGTCCAATAGTTTTTCAGATATTGTAGTAAACGTCGGTACCTTAAATTAACTTCCAGACTTTATACATCTGTTTGGATTCAGGATCCCAGCAATGAATCCATGCCTCATCACCTATAACACGCCGTGCATAAACGTTGGTTGGGTCCTCATCATACAATTCTAGACACCACCCGCTGATCTCGTCCTTGCTCACTGAACTTTCGAGGTACCCATCCGGCAGACATCTTGCCATGAGAGACTGTAACTCTTCAACTTGTTCGTCTATCTAGATACTGCGACCCTGCACAATCAAAACTTCTACCCCAGCAATCATTTCATCAGTGATGACTTAGGCTTTGGCTTTCACGTCATCGCTTGAATTCAGAAAAAGTTTTTTTTTTTGTAAGTTATTTTTGAATAATTGGGACCTACATAGAAACCAACCTAACGCTTGTGACATCCACAGGAGATGAAGTTGATAATGACTCTGTGTTCTGATGTGGACATATTCATGGTTTTAGGGGGCTAGGTTTACTTTTACAGATATGTTGTAAATAACTTGGTATTGATGAGACATGGACAGTGGTAAAAAAGAACAAGCTTTCCGATCAACCCAAACCTATTCTTTAATGGATCGGGTAGTCAGGTCAGGTGACTTGGATGACGGCGTTGCCCATAAAGTAATCACTTATCACAACCCGCTGACTTTTCTTCATATGAATATGAGGTACAGACACCAGTGATGGGGTTTGTTTTGGCAAGAGTTTAATCTTTAGATCATTTCAAAGGCAAATACTCAGTTTATTTGATTCGCACACAAGTGCAGCTTTGCTAGTTATGCAGATAGCGTGTATTTTATGTTCTTATAATGGAGTGTGTAAATGTTCTACTGGAAGTTTCTCCATTTTAAAGAAGGTTTCCTCTGCATTCAAACTTTCTTCTCTTGATGGTGAGGTTTAATAGGGTTTACCGTCACGTTGAAGATTGTTGCACGAATGTGTGGCTGCTTGTACTAGTCCGGACTTATGCTGGTTATAATATGCTGGCCTACTGAGATACCATGTCGCAGTTAACATGGATACCCTACTCAGACACAATATACCGACTCCGAGCCGAGCACCAGGCAGGGTAACAAGTACCATCTTTTCATGTCACTTGGGCCAGGTGATCTCGCCACCGACCCTCCGCTCTCCAGACAGATGCTCTATCCACCAGACCACGCATGCGCTGCTTCTATTGAAGGGGGAGAGTGTTATATGCATGTAATTTTAATTGCGGTAGAAACTGTTATAACTATATTCGTAGTAGCTGGCAGCAAATGATTGCACTACTAGTGAAATTACCAAGTGCTGTCGTGGCCAGATTTGAACAAAATTCCACAGCCGCGAGTGGAGATTTCGGGAATGGTTTTGTACAAGAACTAACATTTTCTGCCTTTGATGTGTACATGAAAATGGCGGGCTTGATCGTGGTCTCTGGATAGGACAGTTTGTAAATGAATCTGCATCAATACAAGAGGGCACTTTAAGACATTTGTGGCTAATTTACTTACAGTTTTGATAACGTTTTGGAAACACCGAATTCCTGCCACGTGCCAACACTATTCAGGATTCAAGAAGCGAGACAGGCCTCTTTCTAGACATTCAGAAGCGACAATATTCGAGAGTGAATCCACCTTGATTCTGGTTTTTTTTTTACTTATTGCTGCTACCACTGATCTGTTTGAACTATTGTATTACTCTTTCTTATTGTACACCAAAAACTGTGTTTTGGAATATAATAAAACTGAATATTCATTGATCGCTTGTGGTCATTTGGCTGATTTCACAATTTAGTTCTGTGCGTATCGATTTCTGGGTTAGTAAATGCGTATTAATTTGGATATCACCTTATTGCATATAGATTGTTCTTGGCTTAGGACACCACAATAACAGTAAGATAGATCAAAATGATATCCTGAAAATATTCCCTTGTATAACGTCTTGCAGTAGAGTGTATGTATTTACGATTTGGGTAGATGGAACCCCCTCCACTGCAAGACGTTGATGTTATTAATATTGCCTTACGTTCATTCAACCACCGTCTCAAAGCATAATTAGGTTATTTTCACCGCAATACATGTCTGATGTACGTACAAATTACAACCTATTTCAGTCTGTCGAAATGTTCCTTTATGAGTGCAGTGCGCTTAATGCATTTGTCCTTGTGTTTTAACAATAGAGAATCCAGAAATATTTGTAGGCCCCGTTGCCAACAAAATAAAATCAATAATTGATTATGAATAAACACTGAGCTGTGGATTTGGAAAGTGGCAGCTGCTGTTTTCATACCTTTGTACTGTTAGATATTTTGATCAGCCACTGTGATTAGTTTCTAATATTACTTTCTTGCTGATCTGTTTCTTTGTGCATATGAATCGGAATTTCGGCTCGTATTAGCAAAACCACAACAAGAGAATTTGGCCTGGAGGTTTAACATAATCTTCAGGTAATAATCAACTGTCCCTTTATGTCGAGCAATATTACAGCAGCTCCAGCCTTTGCGTCTACACTTCACAACTTTTGATGTACAGCCGAGCATGCTCTTTCCACCAAGATATAAAAGAGTATTTTATGACTTTTGCTCAAAAGTTGTTTAGTAAGGTTACAATATTAAAGGCCCCAGTAAAGATTTCAAAATGTTTTATGTTAGACATGTGTTTTTTCTTCAGGTTAACTATTGACTTGCCTTTGCATGTGTTTGTGTAAAAGCGGTTGAGCATGTATAATACCATTAACTGTAAATGTACGTATTGCATTGAGCTAAAACATGTACAACATGTCGCCTGGCATGATGGCGACAAATGAACGTTCCACATCCCATTTTCAAATTGTGGTAAATGATCAACATGGCGGCAACATAAATACGTTGTAGGCATATGCTTCGTGTTACCCACACAGAATGTACACCAGACCGTATTTCCCCCGGCCGCGATACGCCTACAACTTTAAATATTAAAACTGGACTGACTGATATTTACACCAATGTGAAAAACTGAAAACGGAAAGGACATTGAGCAAGGCAAATGTTAAAAACTGCCAAATCACATGGATGACTATGTGGTATTTACCGGTGGCCAAAACTTTGCAAGGATTGTTACTCTTTGTAGGGGAGCTCTACTGGATTGCTCTTGGGTTACAAACACATAATTAATCCACACATGAACACAATACCTGGCTGAAGGAAGAATGACTTTACTCCAATTAACTACATAATACATAATACATAAATGGGGGCTCATTTTGCTCGGTAACCTACTCGATTACGTGTAATCGTACCCGACGAAATTGGACGTTGTCATAATATTGATCACTGCTTTATCTGCGATTTGGGTTGCGTTATGTGCTGATCGAAGCCACTGAATTGTTATTGTTGTCAACGGTTTTTTTTTTAAGTTAACGATTACATAAGCAATCGATGCAGTTGTTACCACTATTATGCCATCATACTATTTTTGCAAACTGAACATCTTAGTATTGCGATTCCACATATTAAGCCAACTTGTAACATTTCTAGTTATTTTGCATCAAAGGAGTTTTGATATTATAGTTTCATACTTCTCACCAACCAATCAGAAATAAGTATTTCTCAAAATGAATCTCGTGTACTTTATCTCGTGTACTTTTTGTTGATGAAAAAGTTATTCGTCGCATCTTATGCAATCCTCAAATCAACAACGGGTGCTTGGTGAACACACAACCGCATGCAGTCACGTACACGTTTATGGCTAATGCATTTATAAGACTGCTCGTATATTACCAATTCCTATTGATCTACCACCACGAACGTGCAATGTTCAGCGGTGATATCTGAAGTACCATCCTTCACGCCCTCCCAGAAGTTCACTGTCATAGTGTACTGTGTCGCTTCTCACATCGTCCGGGTACACCGCTTTCAGAGCATCCAGCAACCCGAGTTCTATTAATGGGAATTCCTTTCTTGGAGTGTAACCATCTCGCACAGACCTACACACTGTTACAACTCTTGGGATGAAAGGCTGTGTTAACACTGCCTTGATATGTCTGGTAGAGGCTTTAATTTCAGCCTCGTCTGTGCTGTGGTATATAACGTGTGTGCTGTTTGGTCCATTACATCCTTTACAAAGAATCATTCCGTCATTACGATTGAAACTCGATGATCTAGGGGACGTGTACATACAAACTCCAATGGTTCCTATGTGTTGGAGTTGTGTGTTAGAACATCGTGACAAATGCTCGACAAGGTTCACAAACATGACCAGGGTGGACTCCTTTGGAAAACACATGAAATCTCTTGTTGTCGTCATATCTGGCAACAAATCTAATACTGCTTCTGTCAACGCATGTTTAGACACACATGTCTCCTCTCCGAGACGGCCACTTCGGCAGCGTTCTTGAGTTTCTTGCACAGCTTTGAGAAGTTTCTGAAAGTACCTATCAGCTTCCATTTCATCCTTTGCATTGTCAGTACACAAAACCTTTCCAATATAGTAGGACAGATCTTCAATTGCTTCCTCATTCATCCCAGCATCGTACAGAGGAGCGGACACAGCTTCACATGCGTAGTAGTCCTCGTCAATGTCCAGGATGACGCTGTCACTCGCTTTGATCCAGCTGCCTGATTTGGCTAGCTCTATGGCCTTGTCTGTACTCACGACCTCCACAATACCGCCCAGGGTCATGTCATGACAGCTATTCCTGTCTATGGGAAAGTAGGTTTCATCTTCATCCACATGCTCAGCCCGTTTTATCCAATAACAAGGATGTTGTACAGGTATATATTTTGACTGCATACAGTAACATGCGACCAATTCGCCGTCTTCTGTGTACATTAACCCAGCTTCCAGATTCATGGAGACGTAAGGCTTCTCTTGCTCACAGTAGGGTGGCCAAACCCAGATGAAGCGATTTATCAACCCAGTACCGGCAGCTGCCTTCAAACACATACAATTTTCATTTGGATCAGTATGGTACTAAGTAAGGAAACACAGCGTCTTAGTAGTTAGTAGTCAGTGTCGGTTATAATATCGATATATCAAAGATTTCTTTACCCGTTATTGTAAAACAAATAGGAATACGTGCCACACTCTGATAGGTTGATAAACGCTGTCTTTCTTTTGAAAACATGAACTCTCTTTTTGCCTTTTCACTGCGTGTGAATACTTTGAAGTTAAATTCAAAACGTCAACGCCAGAGTATATATCAGTCTGCCGAAACAGATGTCACTGGGCGTGAAAGGCAAAATAGTGATGAACTTATATAAATGGATGGAGTATGGACCGGACAACCCAGTGGTCAGTAATGAACAATGATCCACGTCGTTGTGGTACAATATCATGTTGACAACCAAGTCACCAAGCATGACCAACCGATCCAATTAAACATGTGCCGGTGAGGAGGTGAGAAAACTCCCTGTTGAGGTTATAGTATGGGATTACATGTTGGCAAGCAACGTGTTATATTAACTTATTTCCTCTGAACGTCTACCATACAATTTCTGGACTGTCTTGACCAGGCCTTTGATTGCTGAAGAGTTTCTTTCTGTTTTAACAAATTAACCACATCTATTAAAATGGTGATACAATTAAATTTCTGAACTCCTTGGAAACGAAACCCCTATTTGAGACAGCCCCCTGTGTAAGCTACAAGAAGACTCGTTTCCAATCAGGAACAAAGTGATGTGCAAAAACACAGTAAACCAGTCAGAAGGCACGTATATATCTTACAAACAAACTATTGCCAAAGAGCGAGACCACGTGCAGTTTTCATGAACATACGCTTGAAAAAAGACGTGTTTACAATATTAATACTTCCTGATTATGTTACCTGAATAAAGACGTCGTTTTTCTCCATCATCAACCGTAGTTCATTTCCGTTCCTAGGCATTCTGTACACAGGATTTCTGTGTCTGTCGAAGGGATCAGCACCGTCTGAGTGACCGTCTATGTGAAACTGTGGATGAAACAACTGGTTAGTAGAAAACGTCAGACCTGCCTTGGGTTCTATGTAAAAATGTGAATTGGGACACTGTTTAGCATCATATGTCAGATGCTGAAAGTAAATTGGTGCTTATATAAGCTTGTTCCCGACTGCCTTGGAGCTGTGACATATTGTGATAAGCAGATGCAGATTATTAGCAATATCTATTTTTAGAAAGCTCTGATGACGGAAATTTAGTGTTTAACAACATGAAAGAAATCTGTCATACCATTTTACACGTTAACACATCGGCAGCACAGTAGATTGTTTCTTAATTTTGTAGTTGCAAAATGCTGTCGTTTTTATTGATCATCTTCATCTAAAGAAAAAGGACCTTATGATTATTCCTTACCAGGATATTCCCCTGCTTCGGTAAAGCGCCATTCTCGACAGCAGCAAACCAGTAAACGAGAGCTGTTGAAAAATTGTTATAGAATGTTATATTACAAAGGTTATAATGGACAGCTTTTACGACTGATCTTGAAAACAATAATGATTCATCAACAGCATTGAACCTAAGTATCGTTTTATGGTTGTAGTAGAGTATGGAGTAAATATATGCAGAAAACCCCTTAAAGTATTGTATCATGGAAACATCAAAATTAGAAGCTTACAATTCAGATGCTGCTGTAAAATATCCATAAAACTGTCGCATGATGAAAATCATCCCGTACTCGTAATAAAATACCCCAAATAAACGTACGCTTAATTTTGAGAATTTGAGTTAGACACCCGAATTGAAATATATAAGTAATATGTCCATCATGTTTTAGGTGGTGTGCAAATTTAATGTTAGATATTTTAAACTTGTCTTATGAAAATGACTATGTCACGTTCAATAACACCTCGTACCTTCGTGGTGCTCTTCGATGACATGCACCAAGGCTCCGACTGTTCTGCCTGTCTTTGAGTTTCCTGATGCCAATGTTCCTGTTCCATGACGACTGAGCCTACTCAGAATGAACAGCAATACCAGCGAGGAACACGTGACTATTGCCACGCCCGTCTTCTTGATAAACACTCTCATGGCGAATCCTCTTTGAGTTATTCAAATGAAAATCCGGTTTTATTGCTATGCATAATTAAATTGCATATTGCTTAGAACACCACAATTAATGTAAATAAAAGTAAAAAAACTCTGTCCATATTCATTAGAAATCTCTACTAAAATCGGAGTCGATTGTACGATCCCAACTATAGCATGAGCAAAGAGATAATTATACGAGCCTGTGTATCATACCGATTTTACGATTTTTCTTGTATTTTCCGAGCGAGACCGAGGGTACTACGTGAATTCTTACAAGAGTTTTGTGAAATCTGTATGACACATATGAAAGTGTAATAATTTCTTTATTACCCATTATTTCTTAATCCTTTTTAACTTCCCTTCAGAAAAATGAGCTTATCACGACCGCCGTTATTGAAACCACGATTGTGGAATGACGTCAACTATCTTCAACTATGACATCGTTACTAGTGTGACGTCATTTCGACCTAACCTCACAATAAGATTCGAATGATATCAATAATGACGTCCGGATGAGTGAAGTGATATTTGCACTAAAGCTCACACTCTGTTTATGAACGCAGTTATTTCTAACCCAGTGGGTAATACGGTACAATTGAACATAGGGAAATGCACCGTACATCATTTTTGGCACTGATGCGTTAAATCTCAACTATAAAACTTTTTTGAAGCTTTGGCGCGGCCTGAAATGTTGTAACCTTGATCAAACAAATTCTGATCATATGACGCTCCTTGAAATCTTCGTAGAAAGAGCAGGCTCGATTGTATTTCATAAGTTGTAAAATGTAGACACCGAAGTCTAGTGCTGCTGGAATATTGCTCGACCAAAAGGGAAAATTGACTTTTGGAAAGTTTACGTCATCCCTTCTGTCATACAGTCTTGTGGAGAGTATTTTGTCTGAATCTGAATGTGTATGCATAGAAAAAGATTCAACAGGCAGATTCAGTTCAAAAATATCAAATAAGTTTCAAGTACAAGAACTTAAACTAACACTACCTTCATGTTTAAGATTATCAAGTCATGTACATAACATCTCAATATCATACCATCCATTTCCGTGTATAACTCAGTATCAGGCCTTCAGATCCCGAAATTAACATGTCAATATTAGGCCAACAAATCCTGTGTTTCAATACTTGCAATGGAGTGTATATTTATGTGTTTACGACCTAGGTGATGGAATCTTCTCCATTGTAAAAAGTTGATGTACTGTGTGCTTTCAAGGTAGCGTTACCAGCATGTCGCATTTTCATATAATCTGAGGGGCACGGGTGGCCCAGTCGTCTAAGGCGCCGCGATTCGCTGTGCAGAGTTGCGTCCCTTGGGCACGCCAGAAACCTATGATTGTGGGTTCGAATCCCGGTTCGCCCCGATTATGTTCCTAGTTTTGTCAGCACCATACCCGTGCTCGTGGGTTTCACCAAAGTGGTAAACGTCTTAGACCTGCATCACTTCGGGCTTTCCTCCCACATTAAGCTGGCACGCCGTGATATAACTGGAATACTGTTAAAAGCGGCGTTAAACCCAACTCACTCACTCACTCACTCATATAACCTGACGGTTGACAAAAAGACAAAATGTTTTATTTTATGGATAACAACTTCTTTTTATACTGTAAAAGCGACATTTCGGTGTAGCTAATTGACAACGGTATAAGGATCTATACCGAAACGTCGATATTACAGTGTAATAAAGAAATAGTTTTCCATTCAATTGTTATACAATTTCAATTTATCGTAATTTACCTTTATGACTGCGTTGTGGTTCCAGTGTTTCTCCTTGGATATTTATCCAGAATGCAGGTATTTGTAGCTTATTTGCCAACAATGTATGATCAATAGTTGCTCATTTGTTGCGGAACGTGACAGCTGTTGCTTTCTTACAAAGGTATTGTAAAATATGATTAGCCAGCCGTTACCGATATTCCTTTAATAGTGTTTCCAGATTTCACACTTACATTCAATGTCTTTTTCAGCAAAACCCTGACTTGAGCGTGATGTGTGGGTGTGTGGAAGATATCCATGATATTGGCTTCGAAAGTAACTGGAATCTGAAGACTTTCTGATATGTTCGAACAGTTAAAAAAATGCTATTTGATATCCCATTTTGCATTAGTGTGTAGCTCGTGTATAAGCATCATCATTATCTTACCTTGCATGTAATATACTTAAATTTTATTGTTCAATGGGCTAGAGCATGTACAACTGCAACAACATAACCCTGTCATCATACATATTGCCGGTCTCTGTCCGATGTCTGTAATATCTGCAATTCAACCTCATCACACCAAAACGGCTGTGTATTGGTGTACTTGATGCATCCAGTCAAAACCAACAAAAACGTTCGCTTGGCAGTATGGCGATGCAAGAAGCTTCGCATCTCATTTTTAAGCCGTGATAAATGATACACTTGTGGAAAGATAAATTCGTTGTAGGCTTGTCCCTCGTGTAATGTACCAAACCGTATTCCCATACATTTACAATACAGCCAAACTACATTGTGACCATGACGTCGCATTGCTATGACGCCTTGTAAAACGTTAAACACCACAAAAGTGACATTTACCTAAGACCAACACCTGGTAAGGTACAGCACGCAGTCTGTTTGCAGGGGTCTGCTGCTTGCCATTCGGTTACAAACACAATAAATCCATACAATAACACGAAACCTGAATCAATGAATGAAGAAATAATTTACTGACTTGATCACTAAAAGCATAATACATAATAACAAACAACAATATACACATACACATCATCAACACAACGCTAGAGAATGTAAACACTAGAAGACTGACACATCACATTAATATATGCGATATACTATCGGTGAAGGGGTGTGGGCGCAGCAGTTTGTTGTGTCGCTTATGCGTACCACAAATCTTTGGTTCGAATCCCAATTCATCCTGATTATATTTTAATGATGCCAGCGCCAAACCCGTGTACGTGGACTTCATCAAGGTGGCAAAGACCTGCATATTTCCGGCTTTCCTCTCACACCTAGCTGCCACTCAGTGATATAACTGTCTTCAACTGTTCACTGACTGACTGACTCACACACTTACTCACCTAATGTAAGATAATACGTGAACCTGAGATTTTAAGGCAAAAAAACACACTGGCATGATAATCTCTATGTTTCTCCCTGGGGAGTATGCAAAAATGAAAAGCTTTGTAAGTGCTTCACATTAACATTGGCATCTTATATACTCAACAACAAAATTTCCTGTGACACCAATATTTTAGTGTATTTTTCAAACAAGTTAAGTTTGGTTTTTAATATTGTAGTACATGTATGGAATCAAGTCACAAAACGCAACTACCACAGAAAAGCATGCATCCCATGCAAAAGTTGACTTTTATGCAAGCCCATGCATTTCACAACCCAAGAAACACTCAGACAAACAACAAAATTACACAATTATTTAACATTACGAAATGCCACCCCTGTCCGAAAATGAGCGTCTGCGAGCCATTGGTATGCTTGAAGCAGGATCGAGTCAACGTGATGTTGCAAGACAATTTTACGTCCACAAAAACACCATTTGGTGTTTATGGCGTCAACGTTGGCAACAGACGAATGCAGTCAGAGACCATCATCGGAGTGGCAGGCCACGCGTAACCAATAATCGACAAGACAACTGGATTCGAACAACAGCCAGCAACAGTGACTGCAAGAAGCATCCCTGGCCTTTGGCGAATATCTTCACCAACCGAACGTCGTCGCCTCAGATGTGCAGGGATTGTCGCCAGAAGACCCGTCAGACGTCACATTTTGACAGGAAACCACCGTCAAGCACGTCTACAGTGGTGCAGACAGCGTCTACGCTGGACGGCCATGCAGTGGGGACAAGTTCTATTCTCGTTTTCACCTCAGCCACAGCGATGGACGGATTCGAGTGTACCGACGTAGAGGTGAACGTTACGTCAATCATTGTGTCATGGAAGAAAATCGGTTCGGGGGCGGCAGCGTTATGGTATGGCGTGGGATTACAGCAAGACAGGGGATCCGTTTGATAGTGGTAGAGGGAAATCTCAATGGACAGCACTACCGCGACGAGATCATCGGCCCTGTTGTTCTACCGTTTTTGCGTCGTCATAGCCCAGGCATTACCTTTCAACATGACAACGCCCGGCCTCATATTTCTCGTCTTGTTCAGGATTCTCTTCAACAAAACAACGTGAATGTCATCCCCTGGTCGGCTCGCTCCCCTGATCTCTCACCAATCGAGTACATGTGGGATGAGATGCATCGGCGCCTTCGACGTCAACCACGTGTTCCACAGACACTCCAGGAACTTCGAAACATGCTCCAGCAGATATTGACAGACATCCCACAGGACTTTGTGCGACGCCTGGTCCATTCCATGAGACGAAGATGTGTTGCTTGCATCGCGACCAGAGGTGGACACACACGCCATTGGTTTGTAAACTGACAATTTGGCATGATCATGTTTTTTTTTATGAAATCACGCATTTTCTGAAGTCAGTATGGCAAATTAAACCATTTGAACACTTACAGGAGTCTTTTATCTGTTGCAAACCGAAATTCACTGGTCGAAGTGGGCCAGTTAGGATATAAGTCACTTTAATCAGAAGACGTCACTTGTTTCATGACTTGTGGAATAGTATGGGCAGAAATTACCAGCAGTCGAATGCTACATGTAACTGTATGGGGTCACCCATCCACGTAATACCCTATTGCTTTTGATCGCTATTGTTACTAGTTTTAATTAGTTTGTTGTTAAACGTCACAGTCAGCAACACAGTAGGCTATATCAAAGTGGTCTGCAAATAATCGAGTTTTGGGCAGATAAATCAGTGATTGTTATTATGACAACGTTCCATTTCGTCGGGGTACGATTACACGTAATCGACTAAGTCACCGAGCAAAATCACACTATTCATTTTTTTTCTCTCTTTCTCTTTCTTCATCTCTCTCTCTTTCTTTCTCTCCCTCTCTCTTTCTCTTTCTTTCTCTCTCTCTCTCGCAGCATGATGAATCCTGACAACCATCACTGTGGAAAGGGAACAACAGCCATAGCGAGGAATATGGAGCCAGTTTGCTGGCTGTGTTGACTATAGGAGTAAAATGCAATGTCCAAAAATAGAATCAGAACAGACTGAAATGAAAGATCCGTTACCAGTGCGCGTTATATTGGAATCTTCAAAGCCCGAGATTACTTGATTTAAAAGGGTGGTTATTCCAAAGGAGATATTTGAATTATGGATGAAAACAAGAGGTAAATGTTCAGGCATATTTCACAACAAATAATTTGTGACAAGTACTCGACAAGTTTCGTTAACATGACCAAGGTGGAATCCTTTGGAAGACACATGAGGTATTTTGTTGTAGTGATACCTGGCAACAAAGCCGATACTGCTTCGGACAACGCATGTTTAGACACATGTCTCCATCCCTAGGTGGTCACTACGGCAACATTCTTTGGTTTCTGGGGTTGGTTGGTTGGTTGGTTGTTCACGCCGCACTCAGCAATATTCCAGCTATATGACGGCGGTCTGTAAATAATCGAGTCTGGACCAGACAATCCAGTGATTAATATCATGAGCATCGATCCACGCAATTGGGATCGATGACATGCATCAACCAAGTCAGCGAGCCTGACCACCCGATCCCGTTAGTCGCCTTTTACGACAAGCATAGTCGCCTTTTACGGCAAGCATGGGTTGCTGAAGACCTATTCTACCCCGGAATCTTCACGGGTCTGGTTTCTGAGGTGGTTATTAAAGTATCTAGATGTGTTTACAAGTACTTGCAAAAACAGAATCAGTGGAGAGTGACCCTTCACAGCCATTTCCTCAAAGCTCCAAAAATCTTAACATATCATGCACTTCCAGTCCCAAATAATTATTTGGAGACCTCGAACTTTTTAAAATACAGCAATTAGCCGAGTCTCATAATTCTACATGTGAAATTGGAACAGTAACTGACAATAAATGATAAAGCCAAATTTCACAATAATTAAGTTGTAAGTTACCATGGGATTGATTGCCTAACCAAGCAAAGACACACCCCTTTTATGACATCATACCATCACGCAAGCTAAATGTATTGTATTGTGATTCATAAACATGAGGTGACATGATGGAGAAGCACCAACACATAACATTTGTAACCTCTTATTCAATCCTCAAAGCTACACAGGGTGCTTGTTCAACACACAGACACTTACAGACACGCACACATGTATGGCTAATGTATTGATCAAATTACAATACGTACCACTGTGAACATGCATTGTTCAAAGCTTATGTCTGAAGTACCATCCTGCACGCCCTCCTAGAAGTTCACTGTCATAATGTACTGTCTCGTTTCTCACGTGGTCTGGGTACACCGCTTTCAGAACACCAAGCACACATTTTTCTATCAATGGGAATTCCTTCCTTGGAGTGTAACCATCTCGCACAGACCTACACACTGTTACAACTCTTGGGACGAAAGGCTGTGTTAACATTTCCTGGAGATTTTTTGAAGTAGCTTTGATTTCAGCCTCATTTGCACTATGATATTCGACGACTGTGGTGTTTGGTCCATTACATCCTTTACAAAGAATCATTCCGTCATTACGATTGAAACTCGATGATCTAGGGGACGTGTTCATACAAACTCCAATGGTTGCTATATGTTGAAGCTGTGTATTAGAACATCGTGACAAATGCTCGACAAGGTTCACAAACATGAACAGGGTGGCCTCCTTTGGAAGACACATGAAATCTCTTGTTGTTTTCATATCTGGCAACAAATCTAATACTGCTTCTGTCA